CACTGTGGCCAGCACTGGTGTGACCCTGCTTCTGCTGCTGCTTCTCAACCAAGTGACAGTAGGGTGACTAATGCCCAGACAAGGACATCAGATCCTAATCCCCAGAACCTGCACACATAGGTCGTGTGAGGCCAACTGAAGTGATGCAGCCATGAGCCAAGAACTCTTGAAGCCTCCACGAGCTCAACAGTCGAGGAAGGACCCAACCTGCTGCCTCTGGAGGGAGCACGGCCCTGCCAACGCCTATCACACTGCTGCCTCCAGAACGGAGAGAACCAGCTGTTGTGTTAGGCTTATAAATATGAACTGATTTGTTATAGAGCAGTAGGTAATTAATACGCATGCATAAGTGAAATGCACTGCTACCTCGGCCTTTGCACGGCATTCTTAATCAGTCTTCAACCTGTCTCTCTCCTTCCCGTTTTCAGATCCAGAACACCTTTCGTCTCACCTGAGAGAAACCAGCCCTTGTCACTTTGTATCACTATTTTCTTCACGTCTCTTGCCACTACCGTTATCTGTCTTCCTATAAATAAGGCACCTGTAATTAGACATAGCATAATAAAATAAAAAAAGCTTAGCCAGGCGCCGGTGGCTCACGCCTGTAATCCTAGCTACTCAGGAGGCAGAGATCAGGAGGATCGCAGTTGGAGGCTAGCCCAGGCAAATAGTTCACAAGACCCTATCTCGAAAAAAAACCCTTCACAAAAAAAGGGCTGGTGGAGTGGCTCTAATGGTAGGCCCTGAGTTCAAACCCCAATCCATAAAAACAAAAACAGTTTGTATCTTATTTTCTCCTGCTCTAATCTGTCAGAGCAGGGACTTTTGACTTCCTTCAGTACCAAAACCCATATGCTGCTAGCCTGCTCCAGTCACCATAACAAACCACCACAGGCTGGGTGACTTAACACTTATTTTCTCATACTTCTGGAGGTCATTAAGTCCGAGATCCAGAAGCAAGAATGGTTGGCTTCTGCTAAGGCCTCTTTCCGTGGCTGGCAGATGGTCTCCTTCCAGGGGTTTTTATAGCGTCTTTTTTCTGAGTACATATATCCCAGGTGTCTTTTTGTGTGTCTTAATTTCTTCTTATAAGGACACTAGTCAGGTCCTTGGCTAATAAGCCGTATTTTACCTAGTCACCTCTAAAGGCCCCATCTCCAAACACAGTCATGTTGGGAAGGACACAATTCAACTCTAACCACTGGGGAGCACTCAGCAGCAGCAAATATGCAGCAGCATGAATGCTGAAATCACCATCCTAGTAACAGAAGCATCCATGAAGCAGGGACATACACTGAAAATCGGAAAAACACAGACAGACAGCAAGCACACACCCGCATGCACCATCTCACTAGAAACAAAGCAGCACACACTAAGGCGACGGGAAACCATGTGTCACCCAGGCAGATGGCCAGGATAAAAAATCAGGGACAGCAGCCCCCGTGGGTACATGCATGAAGACATGCTTTCCAACACTAATCACGGCCACATCCACTGGACATGGGGTAAGGGCTTTAGAGGAAGAGGAAATTTTTCTCTTCATTTGTGTTGAAAACCCTTTTTCCAATATATCATTTATCTTTTGACTTTGCTTATGATCTTTTTCATACACCAGTTTAATTTTCTCAGCAAATTTAAATCATCAACTATTTTCATTGGGCTCTCTGAGGTTAAGCATGGGACTCCCAATGTTCTACTACCCCAAATGGACGCTCACATCCACCATACACTTAAAAGGGCAAAACTCACAGAAGTACAACCAATGTTTGCAAAACTATCAGTTGATACTGGAACTTCCTTTAAGACTGTGCTCACTGCATTACAGTAATATTTCCCACATGGAAAAAGTCCTATCTACGTAAGAAGAAAAAGCTGACTTAGCAACCAAGGACAGTGCCTTCTACGAAAGACACTCACCATTCACTCGAAGGTAAGGGAGACCAGCTGCTCTGAGAATACAAACAGAACACAGAGCTGCTCTCTGATGTGACATGAAACTTCTCTAGGTAAAACCCAAAAAGCAACTGCCTCAAGTGGGCATTGTGAGGGCTCAAAGACAGACAGCTCAAAACTCAATGCTCGACTTGTGGTGATGCCTCCTCGCCCTTTCCTTGTTTCCTCTGCCCCTCTTCTCCTCAAAAATGACTGGCTTATTAACCCATGTGGCTAACAGCAATTTTTTTCATGCTATTTTCAACCTGACTTACACCCCCCCACCAAAATACAGATTCTTTGGCAGGAACATTTCAGCACTTATAAAAGCATGGATGACATAAAGCTATTCAGAAATAGCTGAAGTGTGTACAGATTTTCCTTTTTCAAAATTACTCATGATGTTGAACCTAGTGATGCCCAGATGGGAATCATGAAGTTTAAAAATCAACCTATCCATCAGGATTCCGAGTGCTGTCAGACATACATAATGCAAAATAAGCCACACTGACGGCTCTGCCTAATGCCCTGCTGTTTTCCAGCTGGGTGGTGTAATTTTCTGGATATAAATTGATACTTCGGAACGGTTTCAGGAAAACTAAGAAACTCTAGCTACTCGATCCTGAGAGAGGCTGGCACTGGCAAGTGCAAGTGCTTTTGCTTTGAAATGGATCCCAACTCTGTGACTGATGAATGGTATGATATGGGTTGACTAACCTGCTGAATCCCGGTTCCTTCACCTGTAAAACCACCCACTGCTCTTTAATGGCCACCATGCTAGGCACGCAGTCAGTCCTCAGATGGTGCAGTCTCCCTCAGAAGGCAGTGTAGAATAACTTGCTGGGGAAGTGACAAGCAGCAAGTCTGACTCTCCACACTTTCTCTATTGGATAAGTTTTATCCACACACCTCCAATGGTCAGCCATCTCACTTCACGTCACCTAACGCAATCCCAGCCTGTAAGCCATATCATGACTAAAATTAATCACAGTCCCATTTTTACTTGGGGTGGGTACTGGGGATAGAACCCAGGCCTCACCCATGTAGGCAAGCACTCCCTAGCTCAACAGTCCTATGTTTATTGTCATGCCAGACACCCTGTTGTACCTCTAACCCCATTATTAAAACAAAATGACCACATACATAACACTGTTTTGCTTGTGCCCAACCATTTGAATGCAAAGCTCAATAGGACATGAGGGCACTATCGGTAAACAAGCACCTCTTTAGGAAGGAAGACAACACTCTGGTTTAAACAGAATTTTAAACAATCAGTTGATCCAAGTCACTTCAAACGCTAATCTTTTCCTTAATGTTTCTGATTTTCCTACTGTCTCAAGAATAAAGTTTTGAAAAACTTTGGTGCTGTTCCATGCAACCTGCCTTAGAGTTCAATCACTCCTGATCCCCCAGTTATCTCAAAACAGATCGTTACTCCACTTCAGCTAAATCCAAAGAAACCAGCTCGAAATTGGGCTTTTGATGTTGAAAGTTAAATTCAGAAAGTTTCGATATGTAAGTTTAGCATGCATGAGGCGACAAGCACTGTGTTAGCTCTAGGATTTAGTGGGAAATAAGGGGATGGTACTTACCTACAAGAGCTGTCTGCGAAGGTGGGGGGAGAAAGGGTAGGTGGCCCAAACAATGTATGCACATGTTAAGTACATGTGAAAATGAATAAAAAAAAGAAAAAGAGCCATCTGCAAAGAAGCCAGACAAGAAAACCATTAACTCAGGTGACTGGTGCCACAATAGGGTCTCATTCCATGTGTGTCAGAGGATGGCAAGAGCATCACTACCCCAGCTGGGGGTGACCTCGGGGCTGAGCCAGAGGAACGAAGGTGGGAACAGGGAAGGGGTGAGGACTAACCCTGACAGAAATGGTCCCTTCAGCGGCCAAGGGTTAGGGCAGCAGGGGGTGGGCATGGAGGAGGGCTATGGGCAGGCCAGGATGGATATAAGCCAGCCCAGGAGCCACTTGCGGGGACTTCAGCTCTACCCCCAGGACAATGGGGACCTCTTAAGGATTTCATGTGACAGGACCAGATTTGTATTTCACAACAATTATTGTGTTTGTGGCTGCTGAGAGAAAAGTATGAAGCCATGCAGACCAGTAAGAAGCTCTAGGAGTGATCTGGCAAAGGGGGCTGGTCTCAGAAGGTGGGGATGGACTGGGTTCAGGACCCCATGTGGATACCAAAATCTGCAAATGCTCAAGTTCCCTTGGTAAAACTGCGTAGTATTTGCACATATCCTGTGCAATCCTCTGGTGTGCTTTAAATGGCCTCTAGATTACTTACAATACTTAATCAATGTGAGTTGTTATACAGGGCAGGGCATGATTGTGCACACCTGTAATCCAAGCTAGACCGCAGGTGGAGGATAATGGTCTAAGGCCAGAAAGTGCAAAACCAAGCAACCCTCTAAAAAACACTAAAAGCAAAAAGACTAGGAGCATGATTCAATGGGGGAGAGTGCTTGCCTCAGAAGTGGAGACCCTGAGTTCAAGCCCTGGTACTATTTAAAAAAAAAAAAAAAAGTTGTTATATTGTGTAAGGAATAATGACCCCAAGAAGTCTGTACACATTCAGTAGAAATGCAAAATTTTTTCAAAGTATCTTTTAGTTGAATCCACAAATGTGGAACCTGTGGACCACAGATGGCTGAATGTATTTTTCTTTTTAGAGCTGGGGATAAACCTGAGGTCACTCATGCTGAGCATGTGGTCTGAACTACACCTGGCCTCCTACGGGGCACACTCTTATTCCCTGCTGCACCTGCTGTCACCTCCTCTGCAGTTAGCATCCTGCTGCAGCCTGGCAGGATGAGGCTCTGAAGGCTACAGACCCACAGTGTTCCACGCAGCAGTGGCGAGGCTCCTCCAGTCACCCCAGCAAGGAGGAAGCTCAGGAGGCAGCAGCACCACTTGCTATTCTGCACCACCAGGCATCGCAGATTTCAGAGCTCAGGGAGCTCCATGATGGGAAGGTTTGGAGTAGACACGGAGATTGTCATCCCTAAACTCCCAGGTGATACACGTGACATAAAAACGATATACTGACAAAAAGTTTTGTGAGAGCTTTAATGGCACAAAATGTTTATAGCTACAAGTTCTACATGTATTGTAAACTGTATATAATGATACAAAGTGCTAACTAAATGATGAAGGATGCATAATCACTTTGGCTCAGTTAATTCCAATGATTTCAACAACAGGTTCATTTAGAAATTCATCTTTCTCACTGGCTAAGTCTTCAATTTTCACTTTTTACACTAGTAAATATTTATACTGCAATCAAGGGAACTTGTTGCACTTTTCAATGTGCAAAGTTGTACAGTTTTGCTCTTGACTTTATTTACAAATATTTTAAGCCAGTTTTCACCAAACATAAGAAAAATGAAACCTGCCTTTTCATTCCCCCAATGGTAAACAGGTGTAAAGCTTTTTAAACATTAGTCTTAAAATGTCAACTTTTAATTATTGAATTTTTCTTTCAAGACATATGTTTTCATTCAACAAAAATCTGGGCAGGATCGTAAACATGCATCCCATATGTGAGAGCTACCAGTAAATACTGCATGAGCTCATACCATAGGTAAGTTCTACTGTGATGATGTATTCAGGTTTTAATTAATATTCTGTAATTTCACAGACAATTTTAAGAAAAATAACAAAACTAAATTTATTTTCAATGTTGACAAAAAAATCATAAATATACCCCAACTTCAAGGGGATACTGGTAAGGTTGCTGCTGTGTTTACAAAGAAGGCGATTACTGCCTGTAAAAAGCCACTCATTTGAGCGGAGCTGATTCTTCTCTCCAGGACACCAATGGTGACAGTGATGGTGCATGCCAGTCTAGTCCAGCCTTTCCAATTTTACTCAAGCTTTTCAAATACAGTAGGCCACTAGATTTACTTTCTTTCCAAAGAAATTCAAATATGAACACTTGAAATAAATGGGCAGAAGAGAAACCAAATGTCACCAGCTTTAAGAGTAAGACAGAAACAAGGCTGCTAAAATGCCCAAAATTATGTAGACATCAAGTGCTAGAAAGAAAAATAATTCGGAAAATTTTTTCAGATAGATCATCTCTCTTAAAGATAGCCAGCTATGTTCTTAAAAAAAGATAGAAAATATTTTGTTTTATCTCTGTTATTTTCCACTGTAACATCACATTTACAAACCTTGGCATGAGAAAGAAGGGTTAGTTTCTGCAAACTGGCAAATCTGGTTGTCATAGTGTTTTTATTCAAGTCAATCTGATACACTTTGTAGATTGCTAGCTATAAAATTAACAACGATTCTCGAAATAATCAATAGCAACACCTATGTCATAAACAGTCATTACTTCATTACTTCTGAAGTATCCTTCAGAGTCATGCATTATGTTCTAAATCCAACAAAGCTTACTTGAAATAATCTGTAACCTTCATTCTAACAATTTGGTCCTAAAGCTTCACATTTTAGAAACAAAAAAGAAAGTCTGTCACTGAAGGGATTTGTTGAGTGTTCTGGAATGCCAAGGGTTTAAAGTAACTGGAAAGATGGCTGCACGAGAAAAGGACCAGTGCCTGTGGAATCACAGGGACACTGAAGACGACGACAGAGCAAACATTAGGAAGAGAGGGATCAGGAGGGAACAAATGGCATCTTTCCAGAACTTTGCCACCTGTGCCCACAACCAAGTCTATTTTTCAAAGTTACACAAGTGCTTGGAGTAACTCAGGAGCAAATTTCTTCAGAGTTTAAAGGCTTCAGAGTGTAAGTGAAACTTCCGAAAACAAGAGGCCTGTGCTAACAGCACGATTTGGACTCATTCTAAAGTCTCTTCTTAGAGGAAAAAAAAAGAGCAAAAATTTAAAGAAAGTCATGAAAAATACACATGCAGCTGACATGAAAATACCAAACACACACAAAAATCTCGAAAGCAATTCTTATGTCCAGGCCTGGGACATTCCTTATCAGAAGTAAAGACTCTAATACCATAGAAAAGACAGCGTAACATCCGAGTACTAAAATCTGCTGATGTATCAGAGTTCCTATTCTACTACCTATCACCTAGATAGCCTGCCTCCTACAAATTAAAAGGCGCTCTTAGGAGGCTTAGAAAAAGAGTGGCTCCAAAGCAGGTTTAAAATAATTTTTTATTGCCCAGGATAGTTTTTTCTTGTGCCTTGCTTTTTTTGCTTTTTCTTTTTAGTAATTATAAATTCAAGCTTAGGGAAGCCTGTCTTTGTCTTGGAAAACAAAACAAAAACTAAACAACAAAGCTTTCATAGTATAATTTGCTAACCTGATCTTGTTTTAAAAGAGAGATATAGTCACATGGCCAGAATAAAATTTCTACCATGGATGATACAGGTCTAATTCTGGTGGTCCTAACAGGAGGCAACAGCATTGTTGACAAAATTGTCATCTGCTGGTGGCATTTGCGGAAAAGAAGCCCTTGCAAATTTCTAAACAACAGTAAACTGTTAGGAAATTCTAAAGTGACTTACAGGCCAAAAAGGAATAAGGTTAGTAAAATGCCTCAACAGAGTTTGGATAAAATACTGGATTTGAGAGTTACTGGAATTGGATATATAAAAACAGGGTGTAAGTTGGGTCATGCTTACAATGGTCTCAAGTTCAAATAAACTACTGTGACAATACACCACTTCACAGGCCACGCATGTTTCCAGGGAGATTTTCCTTCTCTCAGTAGGTGCTGGCAGAAGGTGTGCTCAGTCGTTTTCCAATATAGATGCTGTAAGGAAGCAGAGTGTAATTTATTTCATCTGTGTGCACAGTTCTACACCAGCTTGTCCACACATTTTTCAGTCCTGGTAAAAAGCTATGAAGGTTTATTTGCACAGTTCCCCAACACTCTGAAACCACTGCTTGCTTTTTTTCTTTCTTTGTAGTGCTGGGGATTGAACCCAGGGCCTCACACATTTTAGCCAGCACTCTACCTTTGAACTACACCCCCAGCCCACTGACTGTTTAATGACCAGCCACCAGCCCACTCAAACTGGTTTTATGTGATTCTGTTTACTCATTAGATCAGGCTGGACAACACAGAGCAGTGATGATACAGAGCCAAGCCAGAGAGAACAGACCCTTCCAAAGAATCAAACAGAGGTCCCCTCCTTTGAGACATTCTCTCCTGCTGGACAAAAAGTCCTATTGCTATTTCAGATGCAGGAATACAGTCATATGCCAAATTACTTCGGTGTTTGGTACAGTCAAAAAAATTAAAGCTGCCAATGCTTTTAAGATGGCTCTCACTAATAACTCTTAAGGCTTAGGGGACTAACTGACTTTTCCATGCCAAACAAGGACTTGAACCTCTTTCAACAGCATAAGCAAAGGGAAGTTTAAAAAAAAAAAGTAACACTCCACCACCAGTGTAATAAAAGCAACCAACATTTCAAACCCTTTTTTAAACATTCATTTATAACAACAGTTAATAATTAAGGCAAGAAAAAAAAATCTGAAGACTTATGAAAGCAAGAAACACTGCAAGGTACAAAAATTCACCTCTTGGGGACAAATGAACACCAAGCGGTCAATACCCTGCTAAACTCCTATGTCTCGCCATGTTCACCCCCTCCCTTCCATCATAAGGACTTCCTTCCTATTTGCAGTTTGTGGTTACTGTGTGCCCTCACAAGAGCAGGGCGAGCACCCAGGAGAGACAGAGGGCTATGTGGGCGTTTACACACACAATCCCATGTTCACGACAGGAAGTCTCTCCGCTCTGCTGAGCTCCTTACAATGAAGGGATTTTTTTTTTATGCATCATAAATAGAAAATGACCTACTAGCCATGCTTAAAGAAAAAAGCCAGTGGCTCACGCCTGCAATCTTAGTTACTCAACTCAGGAGGCAAAGATAAGGAGGATGGCGATTTGAAGACAGCTCGGGGCAAACAGTTCGAGAGACCCTATCTCAAAAATATACAATGCGCGCGCTCGCACACACACACATACACACAACAGGGCTGGTGGAGTGGCTCAAGTGGGAGCACCTGCCTAGCAAGCATGAGGCCCTGAGTTCAAAACCCAGTACCACCAAAAAAAGAAGAGAAAATAACAAGTATGTGTTGAAAAATTAACAGCTACTGTTTACTCCTAAAATCTTTCAGAACTTCTTTCCTCAAGTGCTGAAATCAAGAAAAAAAGCATTTAATTTAAAAGACAACAATGAAAAATAAATGAATTACAGGTAAATATGAGATTGATCTTAGAATAAATGAAAATGCTACGAAATTAAAAGAGAAAACAGTACCCACAACCAGCCTCCCAGTTTCACTCACAGAACTAGCCAAAGTCATGGTGTATTTACTATCTAGGAAAAAAAATCATTTCACATTAACCCCAAAATCTACATGTTAACAATTTGCTTTATGAATTACTCAATATTAGATAAATTACAAACAACACAAAACCTAATAAAGAAAAATCATACAAAAGCCCTGGGTACTGACGGCTCAGTCTGTAATCCTAGCTACCTGAGAGACTGAGATCAGGAGGACTGAGGTTTAAGCCCAGCCCAGACAGTTTGAGAGACCTCATCCCGAAAATACCCAAACCAAAATGGACTGGAGGTGTGGCTCAAGCATTACAGTGCCTGCTTTGCAAGTGCAAAGCTGAGTTCAAACCCGTTTCATTAAAAAAAAAAAAAAAAATTGCACCCAAGGGATTAATATAAACATGTTATTCTCTTCTTGTTTGAACATCTCATTTTCAAAAAAATTTTCAGATAAGAAAAATCCCTAGTATTAAAAGCAAAGCAATACAAACTGTGAAAATAAAATACAAGAATGAAATGAGTGGAAAAACTTTAGGAGTTTAAGCTACTTACCCTAGACCCAAAGCCAAAACGTGAGAAAGAAAGAGAGATGGAATGAACACCTTCAGAAACTCCGCAGAGAAAATGCCTCCTTTCTTCATGGCTCCACTTTTTCTCATGCTCAGCGACACCGCTCGTTTAGGGTGTCTGAAGTGGAACTCCCTGGGAAAGAAATTCAGAGGTAGGTGTCAGAAACACTTTTGCTGCCAGTGTCCTGGGGACTACACCAGGCCTCCATTTCTAAGTGCCCACTGGAAGAAGTGTGGGAGGACTCACTTGGGTGGAATGTTTTCTGGTCTGCTGGACCAATCCGACACCCAGTCTGTACTTTTCTTCAAAGTTTCAGCTTCCTTCTCTCCTTCTACAACTTCTTCTTCTGACTGTAAAGAAGTAGTCAGACTTTAACACAGGGCAGGGGCATAAGAAGACCAATTCTTTCTAATACAAAGACAAATCTGATAGGAAAACCCCCTTACATAAGAATTACTGGTGAGTAATTCTTATGTAAGAGACAGACTGCATTTCTAAAAAGGCTGACAAATGACCTAAGAGTGCTGAATTACTTGAAAAGACAAGTGAGCTTGACTGCTGTCATACCTAAAGATAGGCTATGAACTTAGAAAAACACTGTATTTTGGGATATACTGATAAAGAAAGTGCAGAAAGTCTTGATAAATGTGAAATCTGGGTGATGTTTACATGAAGTTTCATTTATTAGTCTTATTTTCATATACATTTAAAATGTTGATAACTGAAAACAAAAATAAAGGAGTGGGACACGGCTCTTGTGGTCGAGCACCTGCCTATCTAGGGCAAGACACTGAGTTCAAGCCCCAGTATCACCACCCCCCCAAAAAAAGATAATAAAACAAAATAAAATAAAGAGAACACACCAAAAAGGACGTGCTAATAAAGTGATGAGAAAGTGGGGCCGTGATACTGATGTCACTCATGGTTGTCTGAGTCAACTGTCAACTGTTCCACTCTTTTCTTTTTGCAATACTGGAGACTGAACTCAGAACTTGGGCCACATCCCAAATTCTTTTTTTCTTTTATTGTGCTTTGCTTCTCGGAAAGAGTGTTGTGCTTGTCAAAAAAGGCTTAGAAAGTGAACCTCCTACCTTGCTTCCTGAGCAGCTGGGATTACAGGTATGTACCACTATGCCTGGCTTATTTTTGATAGGCTCGTGCTAACTTTTTGCCTGAGCTGGCTTCTCCTATCTCTGTCTTCTAAACAACTGGGACTACAGACATGCACCACCACATCACGACTCACCCTTAAGGTCCCCAACTCTTAAGCACTAGACGTTAATCTCTGGAAGATTATGTACTTTTAGACAAATGATTATTCAAACATTCCCAAAGGTTCTGAAACTATTTTAGCTCAAAGTTTTTTGGAATTATGTATTTTAAACTGAGTCAGAATTTGACATCTTTTGTATCAAATAAACAAAAAAGAAATTCTTTTGCTGCTAAGTAAACTTCTGGGCCAAGATTCAGGTCAAGAACAATTAACATTTCCAAAGCCTTTGCTTTTGTTTTTTTGAGACACAGTCTTGCTATGTACCCCAAGCTGGCCTTGAACTTGTGATCCTCCTGCCTCAGCCTCCTCAGTGCTGGGACTGCAGGCATGGTACCCCCACACTGGCAAGCTTATCTTTAACTGGAACCCCAGAAATTCCTGAAAACGACACAGTATTACTCAGTTTTAAGGAACGTAAGCCTATGACCTCAGACCAAAGGATCCCAAGGCCAAGAAATGCTGATTTTGACTGGGATTCATTCTCTGAGCAGAGCTGTCATTCTTTTCAGTAGGTAGTTGAGAGACACAGAGCTTGACATGTTCACAGGACTCTCTTCTGACAGGTCTAGTGTTCAGTGACAAAGTTGCCCGGGGAAGGGGGCTTAATTAAGATAGATTCTCCATATGGACAGTCCCTTTTACTACCAAAACCAGAGTACAATCCCTATGGAGGCTGGCTGCTCTGTCAGTGTCACTCTTCTCTCATTCTGCTGAACTTGGCAAATTCTACCATATAACACAATGTAGCATTTAGGATCAAGCTTTTTCTACTTGGACACTGAGATTACTCAGAATCATGAGTTGGCTCTTTGGGTAACACTGAAATCATCCTAAATCAAAAACAATAAATTGTTACAATTACATACACATCACTGTGTGCTCACAGTATCTGACTCTTCAACAGACTGCAGGTGTTTTCTTTTTGTTTTGTTTTTCTGTGGTGCTGGGGATGGATCCAGGCCTCATGCAAGCTAGGAAAGCGCTGTACCACTGAGCTACACCTCCAGCCCTATTTCAGGTCATTTCTCTTCCAGTTTCCTCCTAAGCCTCCAATGTCTCTCTCAAGCTGCTCAAAGATTTAGGCTTAGATTTTGAACAAGTTAGTATTTCCTATTTTCCAGAGTGAACATGCGGTAAGATTAAATTTTTTCAAGATGCTGTGATTTTTCTCTTAACTGAGTGAAGCAAAATTATCTTTCAACTAGTATTTTAAAAAATTAAAACTAAGTTTTAAACTTGTTTTAATGCTTGTGTTAAGAATAATGGTAGTGAGCTGCTCTCATTTACTACTGCTTTGTGCTTCATTTCATTAATTTTAATTTGCCACTTTTAGGTTGAAATCACCTTGAAATTCTTGGAATTCCAAATGTGGTAAATGTCCATTTCATCTAGTTATTTAAGAGTCATGCTTTTAACTCTCTGCCTTCCAAACTGGTCTCATGTGGGGAGCCCTTATCCTCTAATCGTTCTAAGTTTCCCTTCTCTGGTCCACTGAGTCTCTAAATGTAGACGCTGAACTGCATTCCGTGACCTGTGGACAAATAACCAGTGTTACGAGATCAAAAAAGGAGGGTATTTCCAGTTTGGATCACCTTCCAATAACACCCAGCATTGTGCTAGCCTCTTTGGTCCTGAAACACAATGCAAAAATGTCTTCAAGAGACTATGTGCTATGGATGGAAACTGGAATACTTCCATCCTACAGGTAGTTTGAATGATCTTTTCCCTAAATGTGCTGCCTTAGGAATCCTTAAACCTTAACAGACCTATTAGTTCACTTGAATGTCCTTGTGAGCTTTTCTGTGACCAATTCTGTTCAGTAGTTTACTTTAGTAGAAGGAAGAGGGTCACAGACTCAGACCCACTTTCAGTCTTAGGTCTAATGCTTACTTGTTTTGTCATTGTGGGTGAGTAACTTCATTAGGACAAAGCCTTACTTTTTCCATTTGTCCACAGAGATACCACTTCTTTCACTAGACTGGGAACATTAAAAGTGAGATGCAATTTTTGAAAGAAATTTAGCACTATCTTATATCTTATAAATGTCAGTGCCTTTCCTTGTTCTTCCTAGAAAAGCTTGAAAATGTCACCCATTCCTTACATACGAAAACCTTTTAAGATAAAGCACAGAAACAGTTCTTTGTCAACTATGCTTAAGTGTTTCCTAACCCTAAACTTTCTTCTCATTCATGAAAAAAAATTATTTTCCCAAATCCCCAAGTAATTAATTTTTAAATTATATGTTCAATTTTTAAAACGCAATATAAGAGCTGGAGGCATGGCTCAAATGGTAGAGTGCCTGCCTAGCAAGCACAAAGCTTGAATTCAAACCCCAGTATCACAAAAAAAAAAAAAAAAAAGCGATACTTTTTGAAAGTTTAAATGGTACCTATTACTGTCTTTTTACTAAAGTCTTACTCAACAGCTACAAGCTACAGTGTTTTCTTTGGGAGTCAGAATGCTTTTGCAAGACTTGCCTCTGTTCAGATGGCTAATCTGACTGTCACACAGCTGACTCTCTGCTTGAAGACAGCCAGTGTTCTCCACATGGGGAGCACCCTGGCAATCCTACCATAATGTGACAGAGACCAAAACCTTACATTTTCTCTCCTGAATGCTACAAGATACTTTGAAATTCTAGGATGGATGCAGTCGGCTCTAGAATTTTATGTAAATACAATGATCAGTTAAGTCTAACCAACGTACCTGCCATTTCATGAGTCAGGACAGCACCTATCAAAATATTATGATGGTTTACTGGGATAGCTGGGGGGGGCGAGGTAAGGAATATTCAGAAGGAAGAGAGATCCAAGGTCAAATTCACACGGAAAATATTTGGCTCAATTAAACTGATTTCTTTATCGCATGGATGTTCAGAGCTACTACTAAATGTGACTACAGCTGGGGCTGCATTGCTTTTCACTTATTTAACTTTGGAACAGCTTTATGGTGCTTCCCACTCAGCAAACATTCCTCAGATAGATTTTGGAGAATGCTAGAATTTAACCTGTCTTTTTAAAAGTGAATACAGACTGAAGATATCCTTCTCAGGAAAGACTACAGCAAAGAATTTCATTTCTCTCTTGGATCCTTGGTACACTTTTTTGCCATGGAGACTTTTAAGTACTTTTTCTACATTAGTTATAGTACTACATGTGGCCAAACTCATGTATCAGCCAGGGACTCAACAATTCCAGTCATATCAGGGCTAGAGGTTTGGTTCAAGAGGTACAGCGCCTGCCTAGCAAGGGTGAGGCCCTCAGTTCAAACCCCAGACCAGTACCACTAAAAAAAAAAAAGTCAGATCACATTACTACATGAGAACCTTGTCATTGTTAGCTACAAAGCAAAGCATATCATAAAATAAACTGGTATTTGATCCACAGATTCTCTAGGTTTCAGAGGACAGCAAAAAATCGAGCAGAGTCAAAGTATGAGGAAATTGTGTGGCCTTTTAGAGAGAATACTGGGTAGATCAACATAATAGGCAAAATGCTGCTAGTGCAAACGGGTCCAGGGTCATGTAGAGGGAGAATGCCACAAAACAAGGTTTCTATTACCCTCATTTAAGCATTCATTCAATATTTTTCAAGCACCCTAATACCTGAGAAGAGATAATAGTTTTCCTCAAGAATTTGTACTCTGTGACATTTTTAGGTGCTCTGACACACAAGTAAGGGTAAGGGCTGAAGTTCTAGAATTCAAACCCTTGTAAGACTTTAAAACTATATCCATCTATGTTTCCAACCAACTCCCAGTGAATAAACTTAATAGGTCCTAACTCAAATAGGTCCGCCTAATTTATATGAATTTTTTTCTCTAGCTACTGACTTTACCTCAAAGTTACTGCTATGATTTCAGACGCAAAGTTTTCACACCTGGTTCTAACACAATCTTCATTTTCACTTATTTTGTAACCTTAAACAAGATACCTGTATCAGTCTTTCTGTTTATGAACTTAAAAAACCAGCCTGGAACACTGGAATGACACATTATAAACAAAAATTTCCAACTCTTTTAGGGTAAAAGGGCCTAGCTGTAAAGAAGTGAAACAAAAACTATACTATCCTAAATAAATTTTAACATCAGAAACTGAATAACACTTAAAAGCAGCTCCAAATAATTGTGAAGAGTCTTCTTCTTTAATATATTTCAGTAAAACGTACTTTAGAGAATCTGCATCTTTCCTAACTGCTAACTGTAAATCAGAGTAACAAAGAAACACAACACACACACACCTGAGAGCTATGGTCCCTGCTGGTGTGCATCTCCACGTCAAACATGATCTGCCCATCTTCTTGGGGTGAAGGGCTAGGAGAGAGAGAACTTAGCCATTAGTTTGAGTTCTTTCTGTCACATGAATAAGCCTCTACTGGAAATGAGAAAAGTAAAAGATCTAGCAAAATGGTTTTGAAAAAGCAGCAAGTCTGACAGTATACCATAACCCCCAAATTTCATGTGACAGTAGGGGCTAAATATTTTATATGCTAGTAAGTGGCTAAATGAAATGGAGCACTCTTAGTCATGAAGTGTTCTAGACTTTGTCAGTGGTAGTAAATTCCTTCACAATTGCCTATATACACAAGACTCTCCTGTTTTCTTGTTTTGCTCTTTTTTCCAATAAAGGCAAAATGATCTTCAAATTCAGAAACCTAGCTTGAGATTCTTTTACCATAAAATAACTTACCCCAGCAGTTCTCAGACTCCTTCAGAGGGTCTATGAGGTTAAAATTGCCTTCATAATATTATCAGGATTTCATTGTCATTCTCTCCTGAACATATAGTGGAATTTTCCAAAGGCTACACGATGTGTGAAGTTATAACACACTGAATGCAAAATCAAATGAGAATCTAGCTGTTTTCTATTAAGCCAGATCAGAAAGAGATTTGCAAACTTATAAAATAATTGCCATTATTCTCACTAATTTTTTGGTTATAGGATTTTTCATTTAAAAAGAATTGTTTATGTTAAAATGTAATGAGTTTATTATTTTTAAATTCATTCTCTGTTGAAAACCCCAGCTTTAATTTCTAACAGAGTAAATATTCAAGTATATAATCCATAAACAAAAGTGCTTTGAGATCCCTTATTAGTTTTAAGATCGCAAAGAGGTGTTGTGACCCAAAAATTTGAGAGCTACTATTCATTTATTTTAGAGACATGTGCTCTGAGCTATTTCAGAACAAATTATGTAGATTATACATGAATATAAAACCCTTACGACAGTAGAAAATTTATGGATAAATTCCTAGACAAAACCTATAATCAAAAACTCTACTGGATACAATAATGAATAGTGTGCTGGATTCTTTTCTTCGCTTTATCAACGACCCCTGTGCAGTCACAGCAAGTCACCAGATCCTTCACTACACAGACTACTCTCTACATCTAAACTAAAATGGAGATGAAAAGTAGACTTAGCTTTCTCAAAGGAAAACATAACTATTAAAGTTACCTGGAGCACGTATGCAATTTTAATGTAGAGATGTGGGTGAGACTGACTCAAAAGTAACACCACCAGAAGTTCATCATACTGATGAGGTCTTGTAGTTTTAGATATAATCAACGTAGCAGGATTTTTGTTTTTTGTGGTACTTGAATTTGAATTCAGGACCTGACGCTTGATAAGCAGATACTCTATCACTAGAGCCACTCTGCCAGCTCTTTTCTGTGTTGAGTATTTTCAAGATAGGGTCTCACAAATAATTTGCCTTGAACCACAATCCTGATCTCTGCTTTTCGAGTGGCTAGGATCACAGGCGTGAGCCACTGGCACCTGGCTAACATAGGAGGTTCTTAAGTGGGAACAGGAAAAGGTTCTGTTACAAATAAACACATAATGTGAAGTTAAAAGTTTTTTTCTATTGAACAAGAAACGTCAGACTACAGTACAGGAAACAACTAGACTGAGGATCCTCAGTCTACTGTCCTCAGGTTTACTGTCTTTGTGCACATGGCACAGATGGCATCAAGTTATAGGCCAGCTTTATGCAGCTGTGACTAGGTCAAGGCAGTGAAGTCTGTAAACCATCCTGATGGTAAACCATTTTCTGCCCTGCCCTGACAGGTGGAATCTGTACACTGGGATTTTTAGTAGCTCCCTGGGTGAATCTAGTGGGCAGTTAAATTTGAAAACCACTACAATAAGGTAGAACACAAAGCAAAACCCACAGGGGTTATTATCTTCTAACCTCCTTGACCTACAAGAAAAACTTGCCAAGAATTTCAAATACAGAGTTGCAAGCCAATTCAAATTAACAGGAATTTTAAAAACACTTTTAAATGGTAACATGTTACTGAGATATCCCAGGAAAAATATTGTTGAGCTAGAGTTTCAGGCTTGCTCTGAAAGATGACAGTAACCCACAGCCAGGGGTACACAGGCTAAGGGAAGAGTACAACAGCATTTGCTGTACTCCTTTCATTTTCCATCACACATGTAACTGTAATCATGAATGAAACAGGATGGTCCAGCCAAGTGTGAACACCAGGTTAACAGACACATGGTACCAATGGCCACAGCTCACGTATGAATGTATAATAAAATAGGCCATAACAAGCAGAAGCCTTCAGAGAACTGTAGAAATCCTTCAGCAAGTTTCAGAGTGTAGATCTACATTCTAAAAGACAGACTAATGCTGCAGCTACCAGAAGCAGTAGCAACTGCTCAAAAAGGGCCAACTGCTCTGATTCTGCTTGTGGTAAGAGTCATCCAAGGCTCTAAGAAACACAGGGACACGTCAGAGTGACAGAGGTTGTGGGTGCTGAGTGTGTCACACAACCAAACCAGTCCTCCAGCTGTCTTGATGACATCAGTAGATCACAAGTTACACAGGAAGGGTCAAGCATGATTTAAGGTTTTTTTGGTGGTTTTTTTTTTTTAACATTTTCTTTACGTATTAGTATGTACTTGCTATATATGCAATTTTTCTAAAGTATGAAAATGTTAAAGAGAAAAATAACCATAAGTCTGTCTTCTAAAGATAATCAATAGCTAGGGGTATGGTTCAGGCAGTAGAGTCTGCTTAGCAAGCATAAGGCCCTGAGTTCAAAGTCCAGTACTACCAAAAGATAAAAATAAAAAGAAATTACACAAAAATTCGTAATCACTGCTTACGTTTTTAAATGTTCCTAGTCTTTTTCCTGTACGTGTGCATTTCTACATGGTTAACACCAGTCAGCTATCAATTAACCAGAAGACTATTCGGTCTCTGTAATGCTCAGTGTGGCTGTCACTGCACTAAGAATTTTTAGATGTCATTTAAAGCTTAGTCTCTGAAAAAAGAGAAAAGCTTAGGCTGCAAAATAATGACGTGGTTTTAGTCTACTCATAGATTCCTCTCCCTCTTTATTCTTACTCTGTCATCAATCCTTATATCAGTGGAATTATTTTCCCTAATTCCTATACAGAAAAATGAGATCTGAAATAAAAGTCCCTCTGAGGAAATGAAAGGCCTTCAAAAATGAATTCTCTTTACAGCCTGCAGTTGGTGCTTCCACTGTGCAACTATCACTATAATTCAGGTCAGCTTGCAGCTTCTATGAGTCAAACACTTTCTGAGTGTCTACTGTGCACCAGCACCATTACTGTAAATGGTGTGAAGAGGAAGTGAGACCCCCCTAACTCTGGAGCTTTGCCATCAAGAAGGGGAGACAGACTATACAGAGCCAACTGTGGTTCAAAGCATTATGTGTATGTGAAGCAGGAACATGAGGACAAAGGAGACTGCAAGAAAGTTAGATTAACTCTGTAAATTAACATTTATGCCATTTAATTTTAAACTGATAAACACCTAAAAATACAAGCTGAATAAGAAAAGTTCCTTAGATCTGCGGTAAGCAGTGGGCACTCAAGTGCCTGTCCATTGGCTGTCATTTACACACACACTGCCCCAAATCAGAAGGCATCCTTTACTAAGTGAGGCCGAAGCACGTAACTCTGCTCATGATAGTGGGCCCGCCATCTCACGCACCTGTCACAGTGAGAGCTGGCCCTCGAGCTGCTCTGTCCTGACTCGTGCTGTGCGTCCAGCAGAATCTTTTCCATGTCTCCATTGTGGATGGAGGATGAGGAGGGCACATGCTCCAAGCCCCCATTCTTCCCGTTGCCATTATCATTGCCATTGCTGCTGTTCATAGGGAGCTCCACCCAGGAACCTGCTGGACCAGCCAGATAAGTTAACCACAGAGGGCCGAAATCCCTCACGGACACACAGATGTTAAAACGAATCCAGATAAGAATTCTGACTCACCTCAAACGGAAGCCAAAGTGTTGTGAAGAAAATAAGCAAGGAGCAAGAGAAGTAAAAACTCTGCAATGTTCTATTCCAGAAGTAGCTCATGCATTCAACCAATTTAGATGTAACCAAAAAGCTAAAACTAACTTTTAGAAAGTATGTCCTTCAGATTATTTCCCCTCTGGTTACTTCACTGAAAACTTTGCAATTTCTTTTCAGAAAGTAAGCAGTACTCTACTACTAGACAGGCTTAGACGGGCTACTCTGCCACTTATCTTTAATATTTAATTTTTATACACAAGCACAATGTATATGCCATAGGGTACCACAGCTACTTCACTGTATCTGCTCCACAAATTAACTAATAAACATTGTTAACAGAGTCCATGACCATCAGGCCTGGCTTTGAGTCCAAACACTCACCCACATTAAGAGAAAACAATATATGGGCTGGTGGTATAGGGCACCTACCTAGCACGTGTGAGGCCCCAAGTTCAAACTTCAGTGCCACCAGAGAGAGAAATATGGAATGGATTTATTTATAGTATTGGCCAAAACCGGGGAGAGAGAAATTCTCAATCTGTGTTGCCGTGCTCATAGCAATGTTTCAACTTACAGAAAAGGTGAGACAAAAGCCAGGAAATATACATATGCACATAGCTAGTCTTTCTCCTGAAAGATGAACCTCTCCTCTGGAGTCAAGGCTCCCATGGGTGCCCCATCTTCACTCTCAGAGGCAGAGCTTCCTAGAACTGTCATAAAGTTCAATGAAACAGGCTAACAACTACACCCTAATTAGCAAAAACTGAGACACTCCTGGAGAGGACAAACGAAATGGCAAAAATCTCAGCCAGTGCACAAATTCAGAGCATAAAATGAATGCAGCTGGTTCTTAACAAAATCAGGTGAAAATGCTAATATCCTGAGGGACTTTAACTCATCCCACAGATCGTTTCTTCCTTGCCTTTATATTTCTCTTCCTATTCTTTCTTCCTCTTAAGGCACTAAACTTACCTTGTAAACTTGTCTCTTCCCCTTTCTCTCCCACAAGTTCTTACTTTCTAGGGTTTTCATGAAGCCGTGATGATGTGCAGGGAGAAGCCACTGCACACGTTATAGGCTGAAGGAGGTCTGGGAAGCAAATAGTTGAAGGGGGTGGAGCCACATGAAGAAGGGGTGGGCATTGTAATCTACAGCGTTCTTGAGTTTATTAAATAATTAGGGTGCATGAATTTTATGAAGAATATCAGTAGTCAATTAACCAACTTCACAACAAAAACAGTATTTTTTTTCTTAACTTCCTTTCCTCCCATTGTTTTTTAGAAAATGTAAAAAGCAGGTTGGTGAAGCCATTCCTCTACACTCCCACTGCTCGAGAATCTTATGGTTGAAAGGGGAATTCCACCAGTCATTCAGAATAATCATCAAAAACATCTCAAACCCTAAACACACCCTAAATGAGGCCATGAGTATACCTGATCCATAGTGAGATCACTGTCACCTTTCACAGGGGAAAGGCAGCTCTAAGGAACATTGGCTGGAAATCTAACTCCACCACGTTGCCTGGCCATAACCTGTGCTTAGTTTCCTCATTATAAAACAGACATGACCACACAAGCTTAGGAGTACTTAACCACAGCAATAGAATTGCCCAGCAAACAGCAGATCATTCACATTATAGTTAAGAGAGTTTGCATCTGAATGTTCTGGAACAGTGTTTGCTAAGTAGTTATCCTATCCTCTCCATCCAAGGCAGGGCTGTCAGAGGCCCATAATCACGACCACTTCCTCAGGACTGTGCTGGCAAACAACACAACGTGTTCAACAGCTCCTAGGCCTCATTCCAGCATACAAAGCAGGCAGACTTGAGAGAACTCAAAACTAATGAGTAACTGGGTACCAGGGGCTCATGCCTGTGATCCTAGTTATTCAGGAGGTTGAGATCAAGAGGTTCGAGGTTTGAAGCCAGCCCAGGCAAATAGTTCGTAAGACCCAATCTTGAAAAAAATCATCACAGAAAAGGGCTAGTGGAGTGGCTCAAGGTGTAGGCCAAGTTCAAACCCCACTACAGCAAAACAAAACAAAACCTAATGAACAAATACAACTAGCAAAGCTAAGAGAGCTCTAACACTGAAGATAATTTAATTAAGTATTTGGAGTATATCTGGAGTGTATAAAAAATATGCACAAGCATCCCTAAATTCAGAGCTCTATAAAATATTTTAAGGAGAGAAAATGAGAATAAACAAACTTTTTCCTATCCCCACTGCTTCTAAGATTCTCAAAGTGTTGAAACCAATGGGACCAGTTCTGTACAGAAGCCCAATGTGTTAGACGAACAAAACCTCCAGGCCGCTCTGGCAGAAGCAGAACTAAGGACCCAGGAGTTCCAGATGGGTCTGTGTAGAAGCCAGGCTTCCTTACAACACAGTTAATGTTCACTTCAAGTATCTGATCAAAGAGAAGAAGGCATTCACAATGCCAGGTCTTCTGCTCCTTACTTTTTCTGAACGACTTCCAAACCAGTATATGAATTTGATTTTCTGCATGAGAAAACCACTGATCTAACATATTTTTGGAGCTTGAGAAAACACACCTGGAAAAACTCAGCAAGCAACGGCAATCATGGCACTTCCACTTAAGGTCGGTCATTCTTACTGGGCATGTATTGGTACAGGGGTTAAAAGCGCAAACTGAAGCCCTCCCACCTCAGAGCACGTGGACAAGTTATTTAACCTCATTAAGTCTCAGTTATCTCATCTGTAAAATGGGATAATAGCCATATCTAATTCATAAAGAGTTTTTAGGAGGATTAAACAAATAAAGAACACAGCCAGGTACCAGTGGCTCACGCCTGTAATTCTAGCTACCTGGGAGGCTGAGATCAGGAGGATTGTGGTTTGAGGCCAGCAAGGGCAAATAAAGTACATCATGAGACCCCCATCTCCAAAATCAGAATTACATTCTATATCTTTTCAAAGTCATTTGCTTGAAAAAAAGAATGTGCTCCATGAAAATACAAACATCACCACCCAAACTCAAAACCAATGCTTCTGCCAACTTCTACTCCCACTCCCAAAGGAAACCACTTTAAATGGTTTCACATGGAGAATTCTGGAGTTTTCCCATAATTTTTTTGGTTGTTTTTTGCTTTTTGTTTTTATAAACAATGGAACTGTATGTGTTTCTGTAAGGAGTGTTGTTCACCTACAACTTAAAAAGGTCTTTTAATGTCAATATATACATTTTTTTTGGGGGGGGTGGTACTGGGGCTTGAACTCCAGGCCTCACACTTGCCAGGCAGGCACTCACCACCTGAGCCACTCTCCCCCGGCCCCGTTCATTCTTTTGAACAAGTGTGTTGCATCTCATAGTTTATAGATTTCTGATACTTTGAACTATCCAATGGCAATGTCCATTACCCATGAGATTATGTCTAATACTTTCTTATACTGAGGGCTTCAGTGAGCCCTCTGGGGGGTAACTTGGCAATCGGTACTCAGAGCCTTTAAAATGCAGATTTCCTCTAACCCAGTGATTCTTTCAGTATGTCATTCTTAGTAGATGATCCACACATGCCTTTTCCCCCATCACCCAATTCCTTCCTGATTTACAACCTAGGACTTTCTTCATGTTCTAACTCCCAATCCTTACAAAGCCTGTTTCTACGTGGAAAGAAAACAAGGCAAGATCTGAGGACTGTGCCACCCAAGCAACACAAGTAGAGAACAACTCCAAGTGAAGTCTCTTCTTAATAGGGAAGCTTTAAAACAAGAGCTGGAAGCTTTTCACTATTAAGACTATTCACAAGTTGAAAACTGTTCCTTTACACCAGTTTGTACACATATACAACAACAAAATATTTTGTAGTTTAAGTCTGGGACTGGCTGAGACAGGGTGGGGTAGTTAACTGCGATTACATTTACTGCTGTATGCTGTTGGCTCTACAGGTTTGTAATCGCCACTTCCAGCCTCTTGGGGTCAGGGGAGGAAGGAAGAGTATTTCTCATTTTCCCCCAACTTCTCCAGGCCCCACATGTAACTCATTCTCTAAGCAGGGATGACACATTTCACTGACATTTACCTTCTTTCCTCAAAGGCACTTTTTTTTTTTTTTTTGGCTTGCTTCAGGTAGGTACCTGATGCTGGAATCCAGGCCAGACCTCCAACAGTCACTTGCTTTCTTCTAAACATGTTGACTCTTTTGCACAAGTGGGTACTTACACACTAGACTTATTTATTCACAAGACTCCTACATGGCAGTGGCATTTCATGTGTCACAGCCTTAAAAACCCTTTTGCCAGCCATACTAGGGGAGCAAAAACATTATTGTTGAAGAGCTTTAAAAGCGTGGCTCAAATAGAAGAGCACCGCTCTAGCAACTGTGGGGCCCTGAGTTCAAACCTCAGTACTGACCCCATCCACCCCCGCAAAAAAGTTGTACTTCCCACATTAAACAATAAGAACTATACTGCTACTTTGATTTTCCTTATACAGCTTACTGAGTCTTATGACACAAATGTCTTATTAAATATTCTGAGGGAACCTGATAGTTTTCTTAATAAAACTAAGTACTGCAAACATTCTTTTAATTTTGGAAGTAGTTTGGAGATTTGTCATGAAAGTGAACAGTACCCATAAAGTGGTAAACTAAAAAAAAAAGAAAGAAAAATTTAAGGACTCACTATTTAAATATCTCAATCAGTTGCTATTAAAACTCTGCTTTGATCCCTGAACTAAAGATAAAAGTCTCCGAGCAGAGATAATTCACACGAGTTTCATCTCCTGTTTTTCACAGGCGTACAACTCTAGCCAACAAAGTACTTGGACTTATCAGCAATTCAGACAGTACTAGGTGCCTGAATAAGCTGTTTTGCTTAATGCTAAAAATCACTTGAAGGAATCAATAAAGCTTGTTTTGTTCAGTCTAGTGTTGTGTAATGAGCTAAAAAGCAAAGAGAAGCAAGAGGACAGAAATTAAATATGGCACTGTCCAAAGCTTTTCAGTAACTTTTCAAAGCTCAGCCTATCCCAAATAAAATACTTTCTAACTAGCAGTCCTCTCGGAGCGGCATCTGAACCACATGCAGGCTGCCTGCTCTTCCTCTTCTGTAAGAGGTAATAAAAACATAGCAGGAGCTGATTGGCCAAAGATGTCAAACACCTTACAGGTCTGTCAGGCACCAAGATAAACAATCACATATAGTTCAACCTCCTGTTCTTGTTGTTCTTAAAGGGTCAAAAGAAAAATCAAACCCCCTCTACTTTCTGTGAGAACACACTGACCAAATATCTTACTCCTAAGTGTCTGAGCACAGCTAAGAGCCAGAACACTGGAGACAAACACATTGGCCCCTTCTATACAGAATGCACAAGATACTGAGAGAATAGCAGCATGTGATCAGGCACACTTAAGTGTCCTAAAAAGAGCACCACACAGACTCAAAGTGGAACGTGGCTCTAGGTCCCAGCCAGGTGAGGACCCTGTTAGCTAAGCCCTTGACTCTAAACCGGTTTCTTAACTGGTGACTACAAAGGAACAGTTCTCTCTGAAGCCTCATCTCATTTTAAACCCATGTTGCTAAGAAGGACATGCTAAAAAACAGGTAAATAATTTAAAATTCCCCATGAATATGTGATACAGCAATATGTAAAGACATTTGCTGTGAGTGTTAAATAAAAACCTTACTTTCTAGAACACGAGACACTTAAAAGTTAAAAAAAAAAAAGCCCACTCCAATTTTGGAAACTTGGCCCATCAAAAGATCGAGCAGCAGTTTAACAATGAGAGCTTCTTGAAATATCCAAATTCCGTCCCCACCCTGTAAGGACAGGGAAGCTATTCCCTACAATGTGAAGGCCATGTTGGAAGCACCTATTCCGAAAGAGACTGCTTGGCCTTTAAACATCCAAAAGCAGTTTCGTCTGGCCATATGCTGACTGCCCCCACTGCCTCTTTCATAAGACATAAATTAGAAAAGGTTAGGCAGGAACCCTTCCCAGAAGACGAGGTACTCTCACAACCGGGCACAATCTCTGGCCAAGACGTCTGAATCCCAAAATGTTACGAAAAGCAACTGCAGTTGGTGTAACGCCACCCTGCCCATTAACTCGTGTGTGTGTCGCCTCGAGGGGGGTGCATGAGGCAGTACGTAAATAGCTTTGCTGGACACCCAACCCCATCGTTTAAAAGAAAAAAAAATCACTTGGGCAACTTGGGGGAGCCTCAGGGGGGAAAAAAAAAGGAAAAATAGTGGCACAGTCTTCATCCCACACGTGACTCAAGTAGCCACTCAACTGCCAAGTGACCAGCATGGGGCAACAACGAGACGCAAGCCGTGGGCTCGGGTCCCGGCCCCGGGTCTGTCCGCAGAGTGGGCAGAGCGGGCTCCGCACACCTGCTCGGCCGCACGTCCCAGGGCCCCGCCCGCCTCCCCTCGGCGGCCGCGTCCATCCCCAGGCGTCCCCGCCGCACGTCCCCAGCCCGACCAGCGTCCCCTCTGGGCCCGCTCCGCCCACCTCTCTCCCTCCCCCACAGCCCATCCCTTCCCCTCCCCGCTCGGTCGGCTTAAGGGGCCACCACGGCGGGGATCAGCGCGACCCATTCGCTGCCGACCCATCCGCCCCCAGACAGCGGATCCGAACGGTCCCCAGCACAGCCACCAAGAGGAAGCGCAGATAGGCCCCAAGGAAGCCCGGAGCGACTCCTCCTGATAGGAGCCCGAAGCTGTCAGTCACCCTCACATCCTCAGCTTGAACCAATGGACTGCTTCTCCTCCCGCCCCCGCGCGGCGCTGGCGACGGCGGCCGAGCAGCCCCTCCTCCCCCATCCCTCCGCCGAACCCCTCGGCCCAGACTCACTGTTGAGGCCGGCTGGAGGGGGCAGAGGCTGTTCCCCTTCCTCGCAATTGTTGTTGTTATTGTGTAGGGGCGGCGGCGGCTCGACTAGTGAGACGACATTGTGGGGCGCCTGAAAGAGCTGCGGCCGCAGAACGACCGTCTCCGGTTCTCCGGCAGCAACACAACAAGCCGAGTCCCCCGCCCCCTTTTCTGCGCCTGCGCAGTCCCTCCCACTGCGGTGACGTCAAGGTCCACCCAGGCCACGTGATAACAACACAGCAAGCGGCAGAGCGGGGCGGGGGCGTCTCGAGACCGCCGGGAGGGGCAGACGCTGGAGTCACGGTGACGCGCGCGCCAGGAATGAATTCTTGCGTGTAATTTGGACTGACCGGATCGAATGAGTTATGCAGATGGCACTGGGATAGAGGACAGGGAGAAGTGCAATGAGGAAGTGCTGATGTGTCAACACCCAGATGGTCTCCCGCGCCCACAGGGTCCACGTTCTTTTTATCCAATCCCTGAGCGTTTATTTTTTTAAAAAAATATCTGTAAGGACTCACCTCTGTAATAGGTATGGTGGTGACAGGCCCAATTCCTCCCCGTCCTAAACCTAAAGTCAACACTGCAAACAGGTCACCGTCTAAGGTGGCCCAGACCTTATCGTTGTTGCGGAATTTAAAAAAATTTAATTGCAAATCTAGTACACCGTCATTGTTAGTAACAGCAATGGCCGGGTGTGGTGAAGCACGCCTGTAAGCCCAGCACTGGAGAAGGTGAGGGAGGAGGATCGCGGGTTCTAGGCCAGTCTGGGGACCCTGTCCCAAAACAACAAACAAAAATAAATAAAACATACAAAAAAAAATGGTCACTCAAATCCCATCACCCGCCTAACCTATTTCTGAGACATGACCTGGAAAGCCATGTATTCCGTATTTAGCCACCATGTGGGTGACTAAAGTACTTTATGTTCCTAAATATTCCTACATTATACCTCGTTGTCTGTGGCCAGTTTCCCTGATCTAATTTATCCGTGGCATATTATTTCTCTGCTTTTTTTGGGGTTTTTTGGGCTGCGCTGGGACTTGAACCCATGGACTTGCACATGCTAGACAAGCGCTCTGGTGCTGAGCTACATCTCTAACCCTGTTTCTCGTCTTCCAAATTCGCTTCATTCTGCAGAAGTTTAAAGTTTTCGTGTCATTAAATCTGTCATTCTTGTACGTTTGGGAAGACCCTCACACCAAGTATGAATTATTCCGTAACTTTTTCTAATTCTCTTACAGGCTTAATTTTACATTTAGCCCTCATTCACCTGCAAGTTTTCAGATGTTGAAAATTACTTAACTTCTATTCTTCCCAAATGTGTAACCAGTTGACCCAACTATGTTAATTTTTAAGATATCCTTTCCATACTGATTTGAAATTACCTTTATAAGGTTCTAAATGCCCACAAATGCTTCAGGGAGACAACTTTATTAGGGATTATCTAATCTCTAATAAAACACAGATAAATTTATCTCTGTCTTCTAAAAATTTTGTGACTTTTCAGATGAACTTAAAAAATATTTGTCCCAAGTTGACCATGTGTTGGTAATTATTGAAGCAAGGTGATACAAGAAAGTACTTCCAATTTTTAATAAAAAAAAGTTTTTTAAGGATTAATTTGTCAAGTCCCATTGGAAAATTTCAAGATTTTGTTCAAAATGTATCCCATTAGGATAACCGGCATGTTTAGGAAGTTCTCTTCCCATTCTTTGTTCTTCTCCCTCCGTCCGTGCCTGTGGGTGTGGGGACCGATGGTCCTGGGGAGGGAACCCAGGCTTCGCGTGTGACCATTAATCACACCTTGAGCCCTCCACCAGCCCTTTTTTGTGATGGATTTTTTTTTTGAGATAGTCTCTCAAACTATTTGCCTGGGCTGGCTTTGAACTGTGATCCTACTGATCTCTGCCTCCTGACTAGCTAGGATTATAGACGTGCCCACCAGTGCCCGGTGGAACCTTGTACTGTTAATTCAATTAACCTTCCGTTTTCTCCCAGCAAGGAGCAATAATGAAATTAGTCAAATTCTTCTACTGGTGCCTCCAACTACCCATTGGGGTACCCTCTCTTTAATATTTTTGTGGTTTTAGATAGTTGCATTACTTGGTAGAGTCCTGTTGCCAAACATTCGCTCTGTCTGGTGAGCTGGTTTTCCATCTAGAAACAGTGTTCCCTAGATGATGGCCCTTTATCTTTTCTTTTTCCTTGAAAAAACTTTTTGCAGAATGATCGACATACCACATGCCACAAATAGTATGTAATTTGTGAACTTTGAACATAAGTACACATCTGTGAAACTATCTCCACCATCAAGAAAGTTAACAGACCCATCATCCCAAACCCGTTCCTTCTTTTTCCTCCCTTCTGCCCTTCCCTTCAGCTCCAAGCAATCATTTACCTACTTTGTCACAACAATTTGCAATATCCAGAATTTCATAAAAGTGAAACATACATTGCACTCTCTAAACGTACAGGTGCTTGTGTGGACCCGTACTTTCTCTTTTCTAGGGAGAAAGGCACAGGAGTAGATCACATTAGAGGAGCATATTTCATTTTTTCTTTTTTGAAAACCTGACGAAATATTTTCCAAAGTGACTGTACTTTCCCACCCGATCATGAAAAGCTCAGGTTCCTGCAGCACTTGTCACCCTTGGTATGATTGGACTTTTAGTCACTCTGATAGGTGTATAGGGTGGTTTCTTTACAGATTTTTAATTTGCATTTCTCCATTGATACAGATATTAAAGTTTTTCAAGGTGTTTGTAATGTGTATTTCCTTTGGTGAAGTATTTCTTCAAAAAACTTTACTCAACTTTCAAATTGTGTTGTTTTTTGAGAGCCTTATAAACTATATATTCTCAATACAAATCCTTCGCCAGGCAAAAGCTTTTCAAAGATTTTCTTTTCCCAGTACACGCCATTTTTCTCTCAAGTGTCTTTCAAGTTTTCAATTTGGCAGGCGCAGTTTCATGCCTGTAATCCCCAGCTACATAGGAGGCTTAGAGTAGGAGGATTGTGGATCAAGGCTGGCTGTGGGGCAAAAATTGTGAGACTTTATCCAAAACATAACTAAAGCAAAAGGGCTAGAGGTGTGGCTTAAGTAGCAAAGCACCTGCCTAGTAAGCATGAGGCCAGGAGTTCAAAGCCCAGTATAGCCAAAAAAACAAGCTGTAGACATTCTAGAGTTAAATCAACTCAAACAAAGACATACCTGGTTCTTTTGTGGAAGGCTGACACAGCACATAGGATCTGACCTTGGAAACGGCAGTGCAGAGCCATTTTCCATTTCCATTGTTATATACCAATAAGGTTATATTGTTATATACCAATAAGGTATGACCACAGCAGACATCACTGTTGGCAGTGGACTCCCTCTCCACCACTGGATCTTCCCTTCCTTCAGTCATGAACAGTGGCTTTACTTGTGGCTAAGTGATTTACCCTTAATCCTTGATTGGGTTTGTAATTTTAAAGCTCTTCTAGTACAGAATCAAAACTCCCCTATCTATATTCTCAAAAATACTTCATAAATGCTGTTCCACCTCACCACTGCCCCCTAGTGGGAAAGCCCTCAAATAACTCCTTGTTTTCACACTAATGAGCATAATGACGTTTTTTAATAGGGCAAATATGACCTTTCCCCAGTATGCTTATCTTGTTTGACAAATTCCTCCTTTTGGAATTCCAACAAAAACTAAGCTTCATAGTGCCTTCTGACATTGTGCCAGGGAGGGTCTTCTATGTTATTAACTTTGAACCTTACAGTTGATGTTCCTGAACCTAAAAATAAATTCCTAATAAAATGTTTAGACACACTACTCAATCAGGAATACTTTTAGCATTTGAGAACACTACAAGAGTAGACTGACTAAAATATTTAGTAACACCAACAGCTCAACTGCAACCTGCTTGGACTCATGCAGACTCATGCAGAATTATGGAGACTCATGCAGAATTATGGAGCAGCAGACTCGGTTTCCAAGACTTTTGGGAGTGTTTACACACACACACACACACACACACACACACACACACACGAAAACATTTGTTCTTCCCCTGGAGTGCACACTCCTAACTCCACTTGAATTTGTGTGGTAGAGAAATGCTGTAGGAATATTCATAAAGAATAAAGTGGTTTAAATTGAAAGTGCTTTTATCTATACTGCTTATGCAGTAACAATGCAAAATTTCTAAAAATGTGACTCATTCCTCTTACAGAAAGTTTCACATTAAAAGAACCTCACTGTTCACTTTTCTAAGTTTTCTTTAAGAATCTCTCTCTGGGCTGGGGGCATGGCTGAAATGGTCGAATGCCTTCCTAGCAAGGGCAAGCCCCCATGTTCAAACTCCAGTACAGACAAACAAAACCAAACCAAAACCAAGAATATCTCTAGCCACAGAACTTTCACATAGGCTTAGGGGGAAAAAAATTGCCCTTAATTTTTAAAGACAAAAAAAAAAAGTCCAATTCCAAAAGAGTAAAGGCTACACAGCTTAATACCCATGAGTTAGTTGTTACATAATCACAGATTTATAAATTAACTATTCTTATTGCCCAGCCACTAAGTAAAGATCAAAGAAGATTAATAGAATGAAAACTCTACCATCTTTCCAAAATGGTTAAGGGAGAAGGGAGGGAGTATGTGTACTAGTGACAAGAAAATAGGAAATACAAGCAACTTGACAAGACTAAGTTTATTCTATAATTTTTATTAATAAAAAATTAATGACCATATAAAATGAGTGGCTGGGCTTTGTTTGCTACACCAAAGAAATTAAGAGATCCTTGAGATGTTACAATGGTTTATAATAGCATTCCTTGATAGAGGCATTTGAATTTTAGCAATGATGCTTCTCTTAAATACATAAAACTAACCCTTAGTGTCATGGTAAGAATCACTGTAGGTACTGATGAATCAAAAAAGAACTTCCAAGAGCTGTTTGGTGGTATCATCTCAAGACATACAGCAAAACTGTAGGGAAACCACCACCCCTAAAGATCATCTGGGACGTAGTCCAGTCAAAAACCAGAGTGTCTGATACTTCTGGTAGGGGACCAGCCCACTTGCAAGTGTTAAGAATAAATAATACAAATTACTAATGCACCCCAGACCCCCAAATAAATTAGTAAAAGTGCCATTAAGAATTATCAGACATATAATCAGTGTGTTTAAATACAAATTCAAATTTAAGTCCAAAAGATACAGTAATTTTATTACATAAAAATTCTCCTGTGTGCTAAAAATGTTAACTTACAAGACATAATATTTGTATAAGTGTAGAGGGAGCTACGGTGGACTTGTTTAATCATTTTATTACTGAAGATATATAATAGAACAATAGGTAGTGGAAATATATAAGCACTCGAGTCCTCTAAATTCAAGGCTGTTATATTACTACTCAACCAAAATATACTACCATCCTCTAGTAATATAAATGCCTGCTTCATTCATCTTTTAAAAATAAAGTCCACTTTTTTCTCCATTAAAGCTTCCTGCAGGGCTGACAAAGGTACATCCCACTTATTAAAAACAGGGGCATTCTTCATCTTTGGATAAGGTATCACCACTTATGGATGTGCAGTCACATACATATTCAACTAAACTTTTATTTGATGCAGCAGTTGGAGTCCATTAAGCACTTTTTAAACACTGTACCTTTAAAAGTTTGCCTTTAATATAGCTTTGGAAAACAAACAAAAAAAATCTATGGCAAAGTACATTTCATTCTGATTTGATAGCAGGAAAATACAAAAAAAAGTAGAGCAGTGCTGATTTCATCTGTTAATCACTTGATGTTAGTTTTCTGCTCTATGACTGAAAAAGTTTTGACTGGTTAAAAACATTTTAAAGTCTCTGACTTAGTATTCAGTAAGGCAAAATGAAATGAAGCACTATAAAATGTCTTTAAAAATGAGGCTCTACAAACGTGGTTCTCATTTACAATTTCATTAACAAATATTAAGTATAGATACAATGTATCCAATACCCTCATAACTACAGTAAAAACTCTAGTAGCATTTATAGATTGTGAAATCCTTAATACCAATATATATTCAAAATATGTTCACACAGAACCAATACCTCTCCTCCATGTAAAAGAACACTTGTTAAAATTAACAAAAATACCAGTATCACAATGGAAACTCATTTCACTGCGCCCAAGAGTATGACACAAAATATTGGCTCAAAGAGGTAGATTAAAAAGAAAAAGAAAACCAGATTCTCCATTCTTTGTCACTTTTATTCAGTAGTAGTTTTTTTTTTTCCTTATTTTCAGTGCCAGACATGGCAAGGAGTGATTACAGCCAACTGTCATTAAAACATTTGTTCGCAACATAGACCCCCTTTACCACTGACCCCAAACTGACTCATTTTTGTGTGCTTTCATTCTTTCCTTTTTGTTTTTTAATATACCACCACCAAGACTGGGTGGAAGGGGCAAGGGTAAAAGAGATGAAGGAGGAAGAGTCCAGGAGGCCAGAGAGGAGGAATGCTACAAGCCACAGTAAGAATGAGCTGTATTTAATTTAAAAAAGGGGGGAGGGGTGTACCCCACAAATGATACAGTAATGAGGATACACAATTAAATCCCATAGCATGACTGAAGGCTTTCACTGTGTTTGACGTCATCACAATGGAAGGCATAAAAAGTGGAGTAAATCAATGTTGATACAGTCCAATCTAGTCCATTAGGCAAGATGGTGCAAGAAGTCATTAAATTAAAAGTGCCCTACCCTTACCTAAATGGCTAGCAGACATGGAGAAGACCACAGTGATGAAGCCACAGAGCTTTCTCCATGTAGCTATGAGTGTGTTGTTGAATGGCACACTGTCAAACACTGGAAAGGGGTGCCACAATGGACCTCTCTCTTATATGTACGAATGCTAGACTCAGCTATCTCAACTAAGCAGGAAGAGGGCTCTTCTGTTAGGAATGCCAACCCTAATTCACTTTGTCTTGAAATATATACAGATTGTTTGTAGTAGCTACAGCAATGATATTTTCCTTGGGGTGCCAGGCTGTATGAAGGATTTTCTTATTGAAGTCTAGGCTGTCAACACTTATTTCATCCTTCTTTCGCTTGCCGCTTGCACAGACTTTGCGTGGCTTCAAAACCGTGCGAGGCTTATTGTTTTCTCGTGATGCTTCTAGAGTTATATCTCGCTTTGTGTTCCTATCAAACATTCTGAAGAAATTATTGTAAGATCCAGTCATGACAACACTGCAAAAGAAGAACACCCAGTCAAACACGTCAGTAAGAGACTGTTTACTACAATGGCTCAGTGATCCAACCTGGCCTAGCACTCCACAGAAAGCAGCTACTCCAAGATTTGCATTAAGAGATGGGGTTGATAGCTGGCCCAATCAGTTAAATAAACCAGATAAAGACTTACTTAAGTTGCTTCTACAAGACCCCTCCAACTATCAAAGCTGATAGCACCCTCGATTAAAAGTTCTCTTAGTCGTACTGCATTATTTTTGAATATTTTGCAACTACAGGCCACACGATCAACTACTTAGTCAGCTTCTTGAAGTAGAAACCATGAATTCTAACCTCCCCCAAATGGAGAAAACAGTGTTTCCATTTTAGGATGTGAATTATGAGCTGTTTAACTTGTCTAGATAATATTTTTTTTTCTTTTTTTGAAAAAAAAAAAAAAAAAAACAGGTGCTCTCTATGTAGCCCTAGGTGGCCTTTAAGTCATGATCCTCCTGAAATCTCAGTCTCCTGAGTGTTGGGATTGCAAGCGCCACCATGCCCAGCTCAGATAATCATATTTCATGAGTGCTTATAATAAATCTGCTCATGACAACACAGTATTTTTATTAACAGAAAATGACTTTACATATACCACTAAAAACACTTTAAACAAACACTTCAATATTTCAGTTCAAAGGAATGGCAAAGTCTTAGCCTACAGAAGACACTTGTTCTATTGAGACAGGGCCTCCCACAAAGCTGGGCTCAAGGTATGGGACAAGGCAGCTGGCTGCTACGTGTTCTTGTCAATTCCACTCACTGTCCATCACTGCCCAACATGAGTGTCTGCAAAGGCAGCACTTCTCACGTCTGAAAGCCTTCATGGTTTGAAAGGGCTCTGGTGTTACTATTTAGCAGCTCCTTTCCATTGGCTCAGATTATCATAGTAAATGAGATAATCAGATATGAGGGGATTGTTTAAAGCACTATTTTAGATCTGTTACACACAAAGGATTAGCAGCTACTCACTCAGGAATGTCAATTCCCCCAAAGGATACTGACAACAATCTAAACCAAACTCAAGCTGGCACATGTTCCTAAAGGTAACACAACTGTATTTCTTTTAAAATGACTCGTGTATGCTAGCATACATGTATCAATTGAATTTTTTAGGGTTAAACAGATTAAGAACACCTTGTCTTTGGCTATTTCTTTTTTTTGTGGGACTGGGGTTTGGACTCAGGACATTGCACTTGCAGATACTCTACTTCTTGAGCCGCACTTTCGGCCCATTTTACTCTAGTTATTTTGGATATGGGGTCTTTTGAACTATTTGTGCAGGCTGTTCTTGAGGCTCGACTCCTGATGTCAGCCTCCCAAGGAACTGGGTTTACAGGTGTGAGCCACTTGTGCCTGGCAGCTATTTTTAATTTTTAAAAAGTGTCATTAGAAATTTCTGCCAAAAATGTAAAACCTTAGAGTCCTGGGGAAATATCAGAGGCACAAATTAAGAGACATTCTATAAAATAATTCACCTATATTCTTCAAAACTGCCAGTCATTAAAGACAAAAATGAAAAACTGTTCCAGAATAAAGGAGACATTGTGTAACAGGACCTGGTACTGGACTGGATTTTTTTTCTTTGTCATAAAGGATAGCACTGAAGTAACTGATGGAATTCTAAGGAGAGCTGTGGATTAGGTGGCAGCACTGCATCAGCAGGACAAATTCTGCCTTGGACTCCACGCTGTCATTCTGTACTACAGTCTTGGTGTGTCTTTTAGGAAATACTCATTAAAGTACTTAGGGATAATGGCATCACTTTTGGAGCATACTCCCAACTAGTGCACAACTTAAAAAAAATGTCTGTGTAAACAGAAGCTATAAATAAACAAAGACAGCTGGGCGCTGGTGGCTCACGCCTATAATCCTAGCTACTCAGGAGGCAGGGATCACAGTTTGAAGCCAGCCTGGGCAAACAGTTCCACAAGACCCTATCTCGAAAAAACCCTTCACAGAGAAGGGCTGGTGGACTGGCTCAAGGTGTAGGCCCTAAGTTCAAGCCCTAGTATCACAAAAATAAAAATAAAGACAGAAGAGATCATGATACAGCAAATAGCAACAAGGAATCTGGGTGAATGTCAGGTATTCTCAAAGTCTGAAATTACTTCAAAAAGCCTTTTTCAATGTTACAAGAAACAACTTCCTCCTGACAGTGGAGTGCAGCTGAAAACTGGCAACAGTGTGATTAAACCAGAGGAGGAAGAACTAGTGCAGAAGTGCGTCGTGCCCAAGACGACACCGTCCCATCCCGTCCCTCCCTCCTGCTGACTGTCTCAGGCGAGGCTTGCTTCCCCGGCCAACAGACCCTGTGTAGTGTGGCCAGCCTGTCACTGGGCCTCATATTCTTATACTGGAGTCAGTTCAGCCTGACTTTAAAAGCCAGATTAAAAACTAAGCATTTCAGGTTCCATTATTCTCTAAAAAATCTCTTATCATGAAACCTGAATCATATCAAGCTGTGGTAAAACTATTGCCGAATACAGTACCGCTAATTACTTTAAGTATTTCCAAACTTATGTTTTCTTTTCATTAAAACTTATATAAGTGGTAAATAAATATTGACAACTAAAAGATTGAAAGCTTATTATGTCTTGGTGGCTCATATGGAAAGACGTATCTTTGGAAGTAATGGTGTGTACTCTGATGACACAGCAAAAGGGGATCATGCTGTGTCAAAATTAAGAGGAAAAGCACAGCTACACAAAATAATGTGGTTTAAAAATACATACAAACTATTACTTGAGGGGTTAATGGAATAACTCAAGAAAATGTGATTGCTTTTCATTTAAAAATTGGTTTTGGAGTTAGGGTCTCACTATGTTGAATTCCTGAGCTCAAGCCAACCTCCCGCTTCAGCTTCCCAAGTAGGTGGGCTACACATGTGGGCCACAGAGCCTGGTTAGCAATGTCATTTATCTGGTTCACAAAAGGGAAAAATTTTTAAATTTTTAAATACTAATTTAGATATCTCTAACTTTTTTTGCTATAGATATTTTGCATTTACTAGTAAAAACAATTTTTACTTGTTATTACTATGCTATATCTAAGATTACTAAGTGTATTTCATAGACTCCTCTGGGAAAAGTGATGTGTTTTAATCTAATGTGGCAAATACAAGATGGGGAAACAAAAGAGCAAGTTTCTTTCTTCTAATAAAGTTCGTATCTGAGAGGTTCAAATTGAAATCAATTACCTGTCAGATCCATTCCAACAACACTCAAATTTGTCAAATATGCAGTCATTTTCATACAGTGAACAGAGTTTACTTCTGAGGTATTCATGTACCTGGGGGAAAAAACAGTTTACTTCAACATCTATCTATCCACTCAAATCAGGCAAATCACCTAACAAGTTCATGTATTTAGAAAAATAAAAAGAGCCTATATATATAGACACAAACATACACCGCTTTAACTTACTAAATCTCAAAAATTTTAGTAACAATAAAGGTGTTTTATCCTTTTACAAACTCATAAACCTTTCAGAGAGGCACATCTTCCTATGATATAGCAGGCAAAGTCTCTCTTGGGCACAATACTTGTACCTTGATATGCCTGACTAAACCATTTAGGCCAGAAAACATTTGAAAATGGCTGCTAAGGGACCAACGAAGGAACATTACAGCAGTACTTAATTGTTACTACTTGGCTCTCAGTCCATTAACTGCTGATAAAAACACTACTTACTTTGTTGTTTTGTTTGTTTGGGTGTTGCTGGGTTTGAACTCAGGGAGTTACAATGCCTCTATCCCTTTTGCTTTAGCTTTTATGTTTTAGAGACCATGATCTTCCTACCTAAACCTCCCAAGCCATAGCTCGTTACGTGAAGCAGTATACAGCTTATTTTCTGAGAAAGATTCTTCACTAACTTTTTTGAGCCTGCCTCAAATGACCATCCTTCTACTTCCACCTCCCTTGTGGCTAAGATTACAGGTATGTACTACCATGCCTGACTGTTTACCTCCTTTTAAATACCACCTCTTGGGCATAAACTTAGCTTAGGCCTGTATTTTTAATTAAATGCACAACATGGCACTGCTTTGGTTTAGTAATAAATTCTAACACTAACTCTAGAGATATACGTACCAGATAAAAATCTGACTAGCGTAATTCATATTACTTATACAATGTCGAAAGCTAATGAAAATGTATCTTTTTAATTATAATTCTGTATTTACTCAGCATAGTTTTACAAAAAGGATAATTATAAAGTAAGTAAATCTTGTATTTAAAGAGTAGTCTGAGAAACGATACATTTCAGCATTAGCATGTCAACATTACAAAAAGCAAGCTCAAGTATATGTTGTGACCAAGAGGGAAAAAAGTATCTATTAACTATCCCGTTTTTACTGAACCACCTTAAAAAGTAGTAATAGGCCAGGTGCTGGTGGCTCACGTCTTTAATCCTAGTTACTTGGGAGGCTGAGACAGGGAGGATCACGGTTTGAGGTCAGCCTGGGCAAATAGCAAAACAGACTGGAGATGTGGATCAAGTTGTAGAACGCCTGCTTTGCAAGTGCAAAACCCGGAGTTAAAACCCCAGTACCGAGAGAAAAGGAAAAAAAAAAAGCAATGGTAATGAACATAGGATCTCTCTCTCTCTTTTTTTGTTGAGACAAGGTCTCATTATGTAACTCAGGCTGACCTCAAACTCAAGATTATCCTTCCTCAGCCTCCTAGGTGCTAGGATTACAGGTGTGCACCACCAAGCCTGGTTACTTTAAATTGCATTGATTTAAGCTAAATCTATGTAACATTAGTGAAAATTTATAATACAGAGAAGTTGTAACACGTGGGCTTAGATTAGAAACAAATTTGATCAATGCAAAAACAAAACAAAACTGAAAAAATATACAATTACACACAACTCAGCAAGATGATTGTACAAACTCAACAAAAATAACTGACTACAGGAAAAATGCAGTCAAGCATGAATCCAAGCCAGCATAGGAAAAGCAAACAAAGCTGTAAATACTGAAGCCAAGGGCAACAAATCACTTCAACTCCAGCACTGTGCAAGGCAAAGCATGTAAGGGTTCACACATTTAAAATGAAGGCACAGGAACACACTGGGGATGGGCAACAGTGTTGGTATTAATGTGCAAAATCCTTCTCCAGACACACCTCACAGTAAATAGGAGTATACCTTTGAAAGAAAAAATAAAAATACCTGGTATGTTTCCACGGGCCTGTTTTCCATATTTAAGTCCCAAATTTTAACTGACAAATAATCTCTAGTCATCATGTAGCGACCACTATGGCTGAATTTTACATCAGAAATGGAGGAGATGATTTCAGAAAAAAACGACCTGTTACTGGGATCTTCAGGTTCTTCAAACACTAAACAGAAGAGGAGGGGAAAAAAAAAAAAAAAGAGAGGACAAGGTACATAATATTGACAAATTGTTTTCTGCAACAATCATTTGCAAACTTGCCAAGAGCGAAGATCACAGGTAATAAAGAACTGGCTTTAAGAAAATGTCTGAGTACTGAAGAGGAAGCTCAAGCGTGTGCAATATACTTTCAGAGTCATAGGGCTACCTGCAGAGAACAAGACTCCCTGGATTTTTTACTTCAATACAGCAGGTTGGTGTAGTCTGCAATCTACCTGATTCCCTAAACGAGAAACCTATCACCCTCACCCACCCAAATTCATACCAGGATTTCTTTCTAGTGGCTAGGTAAACTCATTTTGATAACAGGCATATATACCTGAATCTCAGAAGTACTCAGTAGCATGAAAATAAGAATAGCACAACCCCTGAATTTTTTTTTTGGCAGTACTGGGGCTTGAACTCAGAGCCTACCCCTTGAGCCACTCCACCAACCCTTCTTTGTGATAGATTTTTTTCGAGACAGGGTCTCACAAATTATTTGCCAAGGCTGGCTTTGAACTACTTTGGCTTTTAGCCACCGGTGCCTGGCTCCCCTTAATGTTTTAAAGTCAGTGTTTTCCAATTTTTTTAAAAACAAGAAACATCTTGGAATACAATACATCTTCCTAGGAAATTTAAAAATGGAAAGAGGAAGAAAAGAGGAGGGAGTAGAGAAAGGAAGGAACTGCTCTACTTGAATACAAGGCTAGAGAGCTCAACCACAAGGTCCCAAATAGCGTTCCACTAAAAAATACAACCGCTGGAATAACTTGTAATGCCTCACATGGAGTTGGGTTGCAGGGCCAAGGGTGCAGGAAGTCCTGTGCATACATCTCAAGATAGTTTCACATAAGTAGAGTATGTTACCATTTTAAAGAAAAATGAAATGAACTTACGTTTAGAATGCCTATCGCAGAGGGCAGATGCCCTCATGTCACATAACCGAATAGTTCCTTTACTGCTGCTGTATACAAATGTGTTACAGCTGTTTGGATGGAATTCTGCTGCTGTAATCACCTCTGTGAGCTCCTCCATATTGGCAGGTTTGATGTCCACAATATCTGGATAGCATTTTATTAAGGAATTTCCACTTGGAAAAAATGGTAAATAAAATTCTACACTTCTCAAACTTAAAACCCATTCACAGACCTAAGAACAATTATTATTATTATCATTATTATTTGGTGGTAATGGGGATTTTTTTTTTTTTGGTACTCAGGGCTTCATGCTTGCTAGGCAGGTGCTCTACCATTTGAGCCACCGCAACAGCCCTTCTTATGTTGAGTATTTTCAAGTTAGGGTCTCTCAAACTATTGCCTGGGCTGGCTTCAAACCGTGATGGTCCTATCGCTGCCTCCTGAGTAGCTGGGATTACAGGCGTGAACCCCTGGTTCCTGGCTAAATATTAAAAATTTGAATGCAAACACACAAGCAAAAGGATGTACAGAAGACATCATCGGCAAAACCTAGAACATAGAGGCTTCCTAATCATGCAAATTCCAGAAGCCAGCAGGACATAGTGGCAAGCACCTCCAATCTCAGCACTTAGGAAGACTACGGTAGGATTATCCCAAGTTCAAAGCCAGGTTGGTCCATACAGCAAGACCCGGTCTCAAAAACAAACAAAAAAGCAATCCTAAAGTCATAAATACCTAACTCCAAATTAAACACATACCTCAAGAGGGGAAAAGGGGAAAACTATTTGTACTCTAAATCGAACAAAATTTACTTAACGCAAAAAAGATACTTAAAAAAAATATGGAAGTCCAGTGTAAAATTGAAAAATAAATACAAATGGCTAAAGAACATAAAAGATGCCAAGTTTACTCATAATGAAAGAAATGCAAATCAAAACAAGACTTTTTCACCAACAGGCTCTCTTACATATTGTTTGCAAGATGTGAGTTATAACAAGCTTTGGTAATTTTAGAATGATTGCTATTTGGAAAGCATGAAAATTAATAGTAATAACTGCTACATTTATCAAGAGTTTAAAAACATTTAAGAACTCTGATTTTTTGGTGTGTATATTGTATGAACGTCACAGGTACAAGTATCTACATATAGTGTACTTATACAGAAAATTTTTAGGGAGAATATAAACAAAAAGGAAGTTAGATGTGTGGAGGCTGGGGGCATGGCTCAAGCAGTAGAGTGCTTACCTAGCATGTACAAGTCTCTGGTTCAAAATGCAGAAACAAACACACACACACACCCCAAAACCCAAAAAACACAACGACAAAAAAACCAGACTGGGATGGTGGAGAATTTCTACTGACATACTACTGCTTTTCATAACTTATAGGAATTTTTTTTCTAACCTTAATGGGACCATCTTTATAATGAAAATCTTAAGTATAACACTCCACAAATCTGATTAACAAAATCAGCTCATTATAAAAAACTAAATTATTATTTTCATAGATATAACTGAAAAATCTCTTAAAATTCCATGAATCCAACGTGGGCACAATATAGTTTCTTTACCAAACACTACACCAAATCAAATCAAATCTCATGGATACTAAAACTCCTATCTGTAATTTCCAGATGCCAAAGATTAATCCGCAAATCATCTGCAGATAAGTAAGTTTCATAGTCACTATTAATAGAAATTGAGTTGATGTGGTATGTGTGAGCATTGGCAAATATTCTTCGTGGACTGGCCTCGACCATTAGATCCATGGGCCTAAAGACTGGCACCTGTCAATAAGACACACAAAAAATGTAATTTACAAAAGACTCATTGTTACAAACAGCAGTTATGGTTTACAACACTGTCATTCTGTTTTTTGAGAGAATGTAAAATGCAACTGATGTTAAGGTGCTGAAATGAGAAGAAGAAATAACAAATAATTTGGAAATCTTATCTTCTTTTACTGGAAGCAAGAATTTATGCTTCTTAGTTCCTATCTTTTACCTGAAAGATGTACAAAGATAATAAATACGTATCATTTAAATTAATGTGGCTAAAAAAGAAATTAATCCTTTGAGTTTAATGCTTAATATTTTCAAGCTATAAGATTTGGTACATTTCTACTTTTTTGATTTCCAAAGAAAATTAAATTCGAAATAATCTTGCAACAGACACAGTTCCAACTAGGAAAGGCCAGAGAGTGTGCATGGTCCAGCATAAAAGTCTTGTGTTTGAGTTCTGATTCTGCATGTGACTATAGTAAGATCTCTAAGTATTCAGCTTCTATGTTTAAGCAGGAGTTCATTACAGAACTGCTGGTGAGGGATGGGGGATGGGGAGGGCTTAGTTATAATTATTCCTGTTTATCAGAACTAGAATCATTTTTTTCTTAAGTACTTACTCGTAGTGTAGTAACTGTAGTAGGATCCCTATACCTTCCATCTTCCTCTTTCAAGTTATACCCTTCTGGTCTTTTGTCCCTTTCACTGATTTTCCATAATTTTATTGTTTTATCTGGGGAGAAAATGAAGAAAGTCTTTAAAAGAAAAAAAAAAAGTAACACTGATAGAAAAAACCATTAAACACTTTAAATACACTATTTCATATTTCACCTAAAACAATGTTTTAAAAAGTTGCTTACCTGATTAAAAAATTTACATAGAAATCAGTACAGAAATTACAAATTCATACATTAATGATACTCATATAAAAATCCATCAAGGACAGTCAGTTCTCTATATTTGAAAAATAATTAAAGCTACAGGAATGCAATTGTTAATATATGTGTATGAAAACAGATATGACTGTGTAAACAGACAAAGATGTAATCATGTATGCCCAGTATTCAATTAAAAGTTAGAGTAATGAACTAAGTTAGCACTTCTATTTTTTAGAAGTGCAAGGCGCAGACAGCTCCCTTGGTCCACTTCCCAGCAGATCTTATTAAAGACTCCACAGGTTTCTTTGTAGCACTGGATACCTTCATTTAAGTCTGTCTTCCTAAGTCAGGGATTCCAAGAATTGAAATAGGGCCTGAAAAAAATTGATTGATTAAAAGCACATGCCCCCAACTCCTTCAAGAAGACAAAATTCCCTCATTCAAAGATAAATGAAATAGCATCTTTTTAAAAATAAACTTTTATTTTGGAATCAAATTTAGACTTAGAGAAAAGTTGCAAAGATACCACAGTGTATCAGTGTATCTTTGGTATAGACCCTCTGCCAACTTCCTCTAATGTCAACATCTTACACAACCACAGGACATTTGTCAAAACGAAATTAATATCGCATGTTATATTACTATTAGTGAGACTACAGACTCAACTCAGATTTCAACTGTTTTCCACTACATCCTTTTCTGTTCTAGGATCCAAATACCACACTATTTAGTCATGTTTCCTTAGCTTCTCTGACTGTTTCTCAGGCTTTCTTCATTTTGTGAGCAGTGATGGTGGAATATTTGTCCTCAACTATGTTTGCCTGATCACTGTTTTCTCCTGATCAGACGGTGGTTATGGAAACACAAAGGAGAAGTCTCTTCTCAGTGCTTTATACAAGGAACGCACAATGTCAAGATGATCTGGAGTCACTCGGTGAAGATAATGTGTGCCAGGCTTCTTTACCGCAGCTACATTTCCCCCTGCCATACTCTAGACTCTTTGGAAGTCAATCACTAAGGAGGGAGGAGTATCTATCCAACATGCTATGTAGAACCATCAGTGAGAACTCAGATATGCTTACTGATTAATCATAAAATGGCATTTGTACATAAAAGCATGACATCCCCAATGATCTTCCACAAACAAAATGGGTACCACAAAAAAATTTAAAACAGCATAGCAAATAAAGCCTTTTTTTGTTTTGTTTTCATGGTACTGGAGTTTGAACTCAGGGCTTTGCACTTGCAAAGCAGGCACTCTACTGCTTGAGCCACACCTCCAGTCCATTTTGTTCAAGTTATTTTGGAGATGGGGGGGAGGGGTTCTCATGATCTATCTGCCCAGGCTGGCCTTCCAATCTCAGTCTCCTAAGTAGTTAGGATTACAGGCGTGAGCCCCTGGCACCTAGTTAAATGCAGCCATTTTATAAAAGAAGCACAGAACCACTCTTGGAGAGATCTCCAGCCTGGCAGTTTCTATCTGCCTTGTTTGGAAGAACATTTGTGTTGTCCCTGTAGATGACCTTTTCAAAGATGAAATGTAAACACCGAAAAATTGCTAATTTAATAGCCTGTAATCTATTTCTTCTAAACTCTATGTAATCTTGTTTATAATTCTCTTGTAACTAAATTACATGATTCCTATGAACTATTTAATCTATCTAAAATTCAGATAGATGCAAGCCTTGCCTAAATTATGTATTTGGAAGAAGTAAACGTGTTCTGAATTCACAATCTAAAGTCAATGAAAATGACAGACGTGCCCCACAACCCCTCAGTTATATAGTGTCCATGTGTGATTGATCCTATTTGGATCCTATTTTAAGTGTTATTTTTTGCACACATACAGAAGTGCAATTTCCAGTTACTTATTTCATTTAGAACTCAGTAACAATAAAAGATCTACAATGAATCTATAATGTCTTTAAATACTTGGCAACTATTTAAAGTCAATGACTTCCCAAATTTAGGTACTAAATGCATTTGGAAGATATTGTTGAATCTGCCTACAGATAAAAACTACACAGATTAACAGACCTCTGACCAGCCACTGGAATTCCCAGTAGCTTCTCCTCCACCAAGTCTCTGTGATATCTGGTGCTTAAAAAGGCCCATCTGGCAATTATGTATTGCCAGGAGTACGACAGAGCCTCCAGGAAGACACATATGGAATAAACAGAAGTGAAAGATTGTTAAGATTTAATCCATGAATGAGTTGAAATGGATTTTCTTCCAAGCAACACTGGGGAGGAGGGAAGGAGAAGTTCCCGAGGAACAAACTGAAAATTGCCAAACTGGGTGATGGGTATGTGGTACATCATTACACTGTCCTTTCTACTTCAGCCTACATTTTAAAAATTTCTCACTATACAAAATAAAATGAGTTCGTCTGTAAGAAACAACTGCCACAGGCCAGGATTGGTGGCACCCACTTAGAATTCCAGCTACTCAGGAGGGGGATATTAGGAGGGTTGTTGTTTGAAGCTAGCCTGGGCAAAAAGTTAGTGAGACCCCCCTCATATCTCAATGAAGAAGCTAAAAATGGTGGTGTACATCTGTCATCTCAGCTACATGGGAAGCTTAAGTAGGAGAATCATGGCCTAGGCAAAGACAGACATGAGATCCTACTGGAAGTCAGTCAAAGGGAAAAGGGCTGGAGAGACTTTGGCTCAAGTGTTAGAGTACCTGACTAACCGAGTGCAAGAACAAGGCCACGAGCTTAAACTCCAGAATCACCACCCAAAAAAAAAATTTTTTTAAAAATGAACTGCCACCAACCATCATTTTAGGAAAAAATACTCCACACATGCACATATTTCCTCAGGACATTAACTTCTAAAAGTAGAAATTATACAAATGGTGTGATCACACATTGTTTGATGTCAAAGCAAAGTGACTTGGGTAATATTTGAAATAATGTATTTTTACCATATAAATTAAAACTCAACCAAGATTAGAAATCCACATACAGTTCCTGCACCTATGATGACTTAACAGGCTTTAGTTATTTCTGTTTTTCTTTTAATAACAGGAAAAGCCAGCTATTATGGTGTACACCTGCAATCCCAGCACTGGAGAGACTCCAAGTTCAAGGCCAGTCTCAGGTGGGGAAAAAAAAAAAAAAAAGAGGAGAATGTAGTTATGTGAAAAGAGAGGAAGAGAACAGAGGGTACAGATTCAATGGGCTGGTAGGGAAAGCTTTGATGGTCAAAAAAATGGCTCCCCAAGAAAAGTGGCAATATTTGTGGACTGCATTTCCAAGAATTCAATATTGGGGGCTATAGCGTATATAGTGTACGAAGTGGGGCACTCAGTATCTTCCACCATGGTATCTCAGGAGTTGCTTGAGTTTACTTCTGCAAATGCTAAAGTCTTAAGTACTATTCTGTTAATAGAAAGGAATAAGAAAATATGAGACTCCCCCTACCTTTGTGTCAGACTAAAAAGTTTTAATGTAAAATTTTGGATTATGCCATCTATATCCTGAAGTATCACGTCCTAATGATCCTCTTTAGACTCAAGACCCCAAGGATAAGCCAAATCACAACAATTCATAAGAAATTTTAGAAGTACAAGAAGAAATTACCAAACTCTTAATTTGTCATGAAGGACTTCAAACTGCAGTAGAGTCATCACACAACTCTAACCCTCACTTAGTGACTTTCTCTGAACAAATATAGTAATATAAGAATCTTCGTCCAGTCATGTGGCTTGCTGGGAAACAAGTTTTACACTAATGGAGGTCAAATAATAAGAGTGCTCTCCTAAAAGAGTATCCTGGGATGCAAACCATCTTTTGTACAGTTTAGGTACACTAAGAAAAGAAATTAACACCTGTTTTGCACTCATACTCACTATGTATGTAAAAGGTGTAAACATTTAATACTAAAACACAGACATTTCTATCTCCAGTTTGCTGTTTACTGAGGAAGAAATTTAACTCAGTGTTAGGAACCTGTCCAAGCCTACTAAGCTGAGAAGCGGCAGATACAAGATCACCCTAGATGCAATGGTGTAGCAGCTCCTTCTTTTCACATCACATTAGCTATCTGTAAATCTTTTAAGAGAATCTTAAAACTGCAAATGAGCAATAAAAGAAGGAAAACAGAAGTTTACATTCTTCATAGGTAAGAAACATTTCCTCTCTCCTCAAAGACGACTCCTCCTGGAAAGGGGGAAAGTATCCCCTATGGAACATGCGCAACCGAGGCACAGGAAAGAAAAGATGTGTACTTACCATTGGTAGACAATAAAAACTGAGCAGCATTTTTCTGGGGTAACCACCTAATTTTGTTGATCTTTTCTTCTATTTCTAAACTTTTCAAGTAGTCAAATTCTGGTTCATGGCTCTGGAAGGTGCTGTAAACATTATATTCTCCTCTGCTATGAGACTGGATTTTGTTCTAAAATGGAAACAAAAATATGTGGACCATTGTTGAGTAATATTTCAAACAATCTAACATGTAAATCAATTCCAATAGATTCTGAAAATTCTAGATAGCCCATCAGAGTTAGTTCTATCTTATATGCAACTGTATTCTGCTTTCTATATTTAGAGGCCTTCTAGAATACATAAGAAGGCTAAGATGACAGGGGAAAAACAGCTAACATTCAACAAATACGTTTCACCTGGTAGGAAAACGGTGGGTCAATTATGGATCAATATGATTACAAATGAATTTTACATATTAAGTAGTATAGTCATACTGATTTGAAAAAAACACCCTAACGGTCCCTAAAAGAGTTCATCTAAAGTAAAGATTAAAGAAAAGCTTACTCAGAAACAGCTGATTGAAGTGCATGCTCCTTCTTTTATCTAGTTGAAGAGGTCAATTCCCAATCTCTGTTATTTAGTATGATATTCTTTCTTTTGCTTTGGGATACCTGCCCTTTTGATTTCCATTGCTGGAAAATGCTTTTATGAGAAGAGCTTCATGAATGTAGTGGCCCCATGCCCCCTACAGCCCACCCCAAGACCACTGTTACAGAGAGCTTTGTTACCAAATGAATACATATTACCAAGCAATGCCCCCATGTATCCCTATGAACAACTGCTTAACCTCTTTCAATGAGCCTTATCTTATGAGCCCTATCTATAATAATGATTTATTTCATTTATTGAAAAAAATAAGCTACTTGATAAAGATAGTACCTGTGAACTTCTTCAGTTAACACTAATACCTCAGCAAAAAGGAGAATTACAATGATGTTTACGATTTTCATCTTTTGACATCATTAAAAAACTTTTCCACCAAAAAACATTCAAAAATCTCATTAAAAAAGAACCTATGGAAAATTAATAAAAAAATAACTGGATATTAAGTTTTACCTAAATAAAACTGAGCTATGTTATGTAACATTTATGATTACTTAAGAAAAATGACCTATTATTCTCTACCAGAAAAACACTTCCTTAAATTATCTTTAAAGTACATGTTTTGGGTTGTTTTTCTAACAGCCTGATGCTGTAAGTTGTTCATTCACAGACAGGTATTTTGAACCATTTGATAACAGAATCAATTATGAGTGAGCAGGTTTGCCAGTGTTAATAATGAAGAGTGCACTGAAGAACACAATCCACCTTGGGGATATGCAGAGGGTAAAGACCAAATCCACCTGGGATTACCAAACTCATACACCAAGTTAGATAACCTAATTCATAAAATATACATATTCAAGTAGTACTTTAGAAGACTTGCTATAAATCTTCCACCTCAAATTACCCATTCTCATGGTTTATCATTGTACCAAGAAAGCTACAATACATTAAATAACATTGTAATTTTCAGTATGAATTTTGTGTTTTAAACACTGCTGTGTTATTTAATACTTCAACAAGACTAAATGGTACTCTGTATAGTAAGGCTTAGAGAAATGGACACTTACAGAATCCCCACTTTCAAGTAACTTGTGTTCATCAGAGGTAGGAACTGATTAAAGTCCATATAATTCAGGTAACCAGTGTAAAGATCAAGGGAAAGCCACACGCTACATTTAATGAAAACCACAAACCTATCAACAGATTTTCAAAAACCAAACAAGAATATAATTCTGAGCAACACAGGTCTACACATGATCTGTTACTTGATCCAGTAACAAAATTGTGGCAGATTTTGGCAGCTGGAATGGACTGACTGCAAGAAGCACTGTCTCTTGCCATTGGGGAAAATAATTTAGCACACAGGAGAAAATCATCTCTAAAGAATTACAAGATGCCATGCACTGGCCTCTCCTGAAATGCCATTAAAACTACAGAAGAGTTTTTAAAGACACTCTCACAGAACAAAGAGTATCAGCAAAGATGATAGTAGCAGCAATATAAAAGAAGCATGAGTGGTAACCAACAGCAGATTGCAGAGAGCTGAGCCTTTAACAGCCAGCAGTGGAACTTTCCTAAAATTTGGGGAGTGGGTGTTTAACTTATGCTAGCTAACCACTACAGGGCTGTTCTCTGTATGAACCAAGCACAGTGAACAGTCTGAAGAAAAGGAAACAAAATCTTGTCTTTAACACTGCCACTCAAATAATTAGTCAAAACACAACTTTTGCAAAAACACTCTCCCACATCAGACAATGATGAGATATTCTTCAAAGCTCCATAGTTGGGTTTTCTTACAGACTTTTCATATCCTTTTTTCTTAGCTTGCTTTTATGAATATTTTGAGAATCTACTTTCTTCATTGCATACTGTGTGAATTTTATAGTAAAATTAGAAGCTATTTATTCCCAATACTTATAATGGTATCTTAGCATGTTACAGGCATTCCATGAAGACTTTAAGTGAGTATTAGCGGCCAAAACAATGAATGGTGTTGATGTGTGAAGGGGTGGGGAGGACGTTCACCCGGTAAATTAGAAGGAATGGGTTAGGTATACAACTGGCAACACAGGACTTTGGAAACAGTTGTGAGAAACAAGGAATCAGAATGAGATTAAAGACTTACTTTATATTCACTAAAAAACAGTACATGGAAAACCAAATTGCACATTTCCAATACAGATGGCAAACAGAACCCACAAATAGATAAATGAGTCTATGTAATAACCAAGTTTTAAAACAAAGTAATGGAGACAGTGTAGCACTGGCAACAATACACCAATGAAACAGAACACACACATCCAAGAAGTAGGCCTGAATTACAACAAAGGTGGCCTTGCTGTACAATGTGGTGAGGATATTCCATGGGCAGCTTGCCCCTATCTCAGACCACTCACGCAGGCCAATTCCTGGTGAATCCGAGAGAGAAATGTAAACACACAATTAAGCCCTATAACACTATCCAACACAGCTTTTGGTTGCCACTAGTCACCTGCTGAGCACTGGCCACACACTGAGCATCTAAAATGTGGCTGTTGTGATAAAGGAAGGGAGTTTTAACTACTTGTTTTTGAGACAGAGTCTCGCTATGTAGCCCAGGATGGCCCTGAACTCACAATCCTCCTGCCTTGGCCTCCAAATGCTGGGATTGTAAGTGTGCACCACCAGGTCTGTCTGGATATTCATTTTTTAAAAATTTCAATGTAGACAGCCACATGGACCTAGAGGCTTTCAAACTAGACAGTGCAGTTCTAAAAGATAATGAAAGGGTTTTTCTGGATCTTGGGGTAGAAAAGTATTTCTTACATAGGACAGAACAGCAGTAATTTTAAGGAAAATATTAACCTATTTTATTAATATTAATAACCTCTATTTATAAAACTACACCATTCAGAAAATGAAAGGACAAAGCCATAGGATACCTTCAAACAATGTAACTGACAACGGGTTCGTATGCAAAATGTGTAAAGAAAACCTGTAAGTCAGCAAGAAAAATGATTACTAATTACAAAACATTAATGCTTTTAATACCCCTTACAAAAGATGATATCCAAATAATAAACATGTAAAAAGATGTTCAACCTTGATGTTAACTGGGAAAGTACAAATTAAAACTACAGTTAAGATATACTAACACCCCAAAATGTTTTAAATTTATAAATAATGGCAAAGATGTGGAAAAGACAAATTTCACACAGCACTCACTGGAATAGCACTGGACAGGGCACTTTTAACCATGGCATCTAATAAAACTGCTTGCCCTGTCACAGTAACATTACTGCAAACTGCTGTATTCAGAAACAGCCAAGCTGTCTTCTTCCCCAACGCAAAAAACAAACTGTGGTACAGTAATAAACGATAGAGCAATGAAAGCAAGCAAACCACACCTCCTACAGAACAGAAAAGGATGCTGACTGTGTGATTCCAATGAGGGAAAGCCCCCAAGCTACACGCCAAATGGAGTATGAGAAGGCTTGTAAGACAAAGGGAAAATGAAAGGGGGTTTATGGAAAGGTTGGAAATTTTATTTTTTTATGTAGATATTGGCTAAATGATAATCTGCTTAGTGTTTTGTGCATTATTTATGTGTATTTAGTAACAATTTAAAAAATATCCCACATAAATGGTGCTATCATTATGGAAAGCAGTATGCAGTCACTATAAAAAAGAGTATTATGTAATCATACAGAATCTTCAATAACACGAAAAACAAACCAACCAACCAACCCATAGAACCCTAAACCTGTATCTCATTTTTAGAAAGAGAGGCCTCTGATATACGCCAAAAGTTCTTGTTTTTGTTTGGTGGGACTATAGACACATTCTTTGCTCTTAAATCACCCACAATAACCAAGACAACCTTTTAATTAAGAGGAAAATTGTTAACGATTAACAATATAATGAAAAAGCATTTTGTAAAAGGGGTTGGGAGAGAATGACAGAGACAAGAAAAAGTAAATTCTAAAATTACTGGCCATTGTTAGTTTCATAAAATTACAACTTTTTTTGTTGTGTGAAATTTGAGAGGTCAGTAAAAAATATAGGTAATACAAATTTATGGTCAACAGGTAAAATGAGAAAAATAATTTACCTTAATATGTCAAAAACATCCTTTAGAGGTCTGACTTCTGGTCTTAATGAGAGTATTTAAAGGAATCCAATCTTGCCTAAAAGCTATTTGCAACATTCATGCCGATATGCTCAGCAATCAGTAAAGGTACCTTTCCATGGTATTCTACTTGTAAAAGAAAAGTAAAACCCTAATAGGTAAGTGTTTGATGGCAATCTGGGCAAAAATCTAGGTAACAAAATGCTGAACAAGCAGAGACAGACAAATTTATGAATCAAAACCAGCACTAGAACCAAGGTCTTTAGAATGTTGGTCTAAACTGCATCCAACTACTAATGCTGACTACAGAAGGGGACCATAAGTGTTTTAGTTTTCAGATATTTTCAGATTTAGGTATATACACAACGTAATGTCTTAGTAACACACAAGTGTAAACACAAAATTCATTTTATGTTTCATATATACCTTACTGTACACAGCCCAAAGGTAAATGTACAAAATATTTTAAATAACTG